TCCAAATTGTTAAATGTGTGCACACATATGATATTATCCATGAACATGTCAAGAAAAAGACACATTTAGTATATTGTCTGATATGAAAGAAAGATATTACAGAAACAAGAAGGCATTATTTCCCGGCTATTTCATTTTATTTATTGTATGTTTTTATACATACAAACAGAATAATAACAACTGAGAATCGAAAGATATTGTCATTATGAAATTCTTGTGATCAATATTGCACTCTTATAGTCAATATGTAGAAAAAAGATATATCTGTTATTGTGTGAGAGTAAAGAAAGATGTGAGAGAAACAAGATTGATTATTTCCCACTTATATTCTTTTACCAACATCGTTATGTAAGCTGTATATGTACATATCAAGCATGATAACAAAAGCTGAAAGTCTGTATTAATATGATTTTCAATACTGTGCTATTTATAGTGGGCATTTGAATAAAAGAATACATTATATCTTTAATTGTGATAATATGAAGGAATATATTGTATAAAGATTTATTGTTTCCCAGCTTTTTCACCAAAGGCATTGTGTAAGCTGTAGATTTCATTTGAAACATGATTGACAAAACTAAAAATCAATATTAAGACATCTTCATATGCTGTTATTCAATGCTGTACCCTTTATAGTGAGTATAAATTCAAGAAATATATTTTGCGAACAAGACTGAATGTTTCCGCTACTATTTCACTATTTTGCATTGTGTAAACTGGAGGTTTCATTCAAGCCTGATGCAAAAATTAAGAATCAATATTTATCTGCAAACTTGACTATGCAAATACTCTACTGTTCAAAGATTATATTATTATTAGTTGAAAGACATGTTTCATGAAGAAGATTTTAAGAGACAAACATTTAAGTATGATTATTTGTTTCATTGTTTGCTTTCAAACATTCCAGGGTACTTAAAATTCACAGAAATGTTTGGATCTGAAGAAAAATAAAACTATTTTTGCCCAAAGATGGTATCATCTTAAAAATTTATGTTTAAGAGTATTTACAATTCTGGAATTCATATTGAATTTCAAGAATTTAGAAGAGGAAAAAAAATAATAGCATAAGACACAATATATAAATATTGGTTGTACATGTATATCTGACTTTGGCATGGCACTTAAGGGACCATTAAAAACAGCTTCTGACCGTGGAAAGATATTCACTCCACTTGATTTAATGTGAAACTACAGTAGATTTGGAGGATTTCATTCTCTTGAATAATTGAAGACTGCAACATGAGAGTCATTCAGTTCTCGGCTGAGTAGTTTGCACAAAGCATCTGAATGTGTTATTAATGTATTGCAATATGGCAGATCATTTCATAAGGGCCCTTCTGGAAAGCATGCTTATTGCTCAAAAACTTGAAAGTAAGCAAGTGAGAGGTAGAGTATTATTACTTAAAGTGTTTTAAGGGCTTTTAGAGGTTGTCAGGGCTTAGGAATGATGTGGAAAAATATTGGTTTTGAAATAAACATTCACTCTTTTCTCTCCCGCCACTTTCCCCCCACCGAGAGAGCCTAAAGAGGTCCAACGGGATTCCAAAGTTCATGATTCTTTCTTTAATGCAAAAATATTATTTGGAGAAAAAATCAAAGAGGTCCAATGGGATTCCAAGGTTCATGATTCTTTCTTTAATGCAAAAACATTATTTGGAGAAAAAAATCACACACCAGACTAATCCTGTATTTGCCAACTTTGGATGCAGTGACTTGTAGTTGGTATTCAAGGACTTAATGAGGATATGTGCATTGCATTTTGAAATATGTTTAAATTCATAAATATTTCACTCATTCATATTTCCTATTTTGGGAAGGTCCTGATATTTCTTTCATCGTGTTGAATAAATATGAGTGAGAATATGATGCTGTGTCTTCAGTCACGGTTGCAGAGTTATTCATCATTTTGTGTGCGACACAAAGAGCTGGGGAGATTGAATCATCCCTCTTTCTCTTTTTTTCTTTGAAAGAATTTGAAACACATGCTATCTCTTTATTTCTTCATGTCTACTGATCTCTTGTCTTTTAAAATATGATGTATGTCTTTATCTTATGCCTCTATTTTTATATCACCCTTTCACTCTCTTCCTCCCTCCCTCCTTATTTCTCTCCCTCTCTCCTTACCTCCTTCTCTCCCTCCCTCCCTCTCTCCTTCCCTTCCTCCTTCTCTCCTTCCCTTCCTCCCTCTCCCCTTCCCTCCCTCCCTCCTTCCCTCCCTCCCCTCCCTCCTTCCCTCCCTCCTTCCCTCCCTCCTTTGCTCCCTCCTTCCCTCCCTCCTTTGCTCCCTCTCCCCTTCCCTCCCTCCCTCCCTCCTTCCCTCCCTCCTTCGCTCCCTCCTTCCCTCCTTCCCTCCTTCGCTCCCTCCTTCCCTCCCTCCTTACCTCCCCCATCTCGTCTTCCTCTTCCACTCTATATCGGTATATCCATATTCTAGGGGATTGATAACCAGATAGATGCTAGTTCTATGATAAATCTCTTTTTGGCAAACTTTTCATTTCATGTGTTGTATTTATTTCCACGTCAAGATAAAAGACAATATTGTATAATCTTCACAATAAAAACATATATAATGAGATATCTGAAGCAAGCGGATCATGAAAAGCACATAAATGGCTCGTTAAAAAGGATTCCAACAAACAGTGTTCATATCTACTATAGATGCATGTAGGCAGTATGTAATAAGGAAATGAAAGGGTTTCAAATACAAACAATAAGAGTGGATGCATTACAGTCAAACCTGCTTTAGCAACCACCTGTATAGACAGACCACCTGTCTACAAAGACCACATTTTCGTTTCCCTAGAAAAATGGTTTCTCATTGAAACATGTAATAAAGAAACTTGTACATAAAGACCATCTCCCTATAAAGACCATTTTTCATTTCTCTTTAATAATTCTCTTTATATACAGGTTTCACTGTATAAGGAGGGAGAAAACTGAAGTGAAAGATATTGTGCCCTGCAGAAGGATGCAAACAGTGCATAGACAACAAGGTGCATTTCAAAAATTAAATACATAAATGAATAAAATTATAAATTAAAGTGCTTTCCAAAGTAATAACCTTTCTCTGACTACATCTACTTATCAATTTCAAGTCCATACATCATCTGAATTGATAGTGGTATCATTACTTCAACAAGCAAGGGTAAAGAGAAAACATCTTGTATACCGGTACTTCAAAAAATTAATAAATAAAAAATAATGAAATAAAGTGCTTTCCAAAGTTATATCCATTCTCTGATTACATCTACTCAACAAATTCAAGTCCATACATTGTCTGAATTGTTAGTGGTATCATTACTTCAACAAGCAAGAGTAAAGAGAGAATATCTTGTATACTTCAAAAATCCATAAATAACTAAATGAAAAATAATGAATTAAAGTGCTTTCCAAAGTTATAGTCTTTCTCTGACTACATCAACTCAACAAATTCAAGTCTGAATATCATCTAATTTGTTAAGGGTATCATCACTTCAACAAACAAGAGTATACAGTTGCTCTTAAGAGATGAACTTTTTATTTCATTGGTATCAACCGGCTCAGCAGATGCTCCAGTTTATTGATCCCGTCATATGATTTCTAGAAATTGATTTTTTTTTTTTCAAAACCAAAAATGAGATGTTAAGAAAAAACAGAGGTGCAAAAAAACAGAGGGGGCTTATGAAGGTAGTCACGATGAGATTATGGAAATAAAATTCAATAACTGCGTGAAAAATAACACTTCTGGTTCTATATTCAAACCATGGAATCCACAAGGACCCTTCAATGTTCCCTCTGGTAATATAAAGCTGACTTCATTAAAAGTTAAATGCTGATACAACTCTAAATATAACTGTACTGTCTTCACAATGGTGTTTACTTCTTTGTGTGTGTGCGTGTGTGTTTGGGTGTGAGTTGCTGATTTAATCCTGGACTGATGGAAGACATTGAACCCATCATTTTTTTCTTTATTTTTTCATGTTTTGCACACTGTTTTCATTCATCTCAACCCAATTTGATCATGTGATTGGCCTCTTGATAAGTTTTATTCTTATATTTATTTCTGTGATGCTTTGCTCAGTATTTCTTCTACTTTTATACAGTAATGTACATCTACTTGTGAAGCCAAGGATTTTCCTGATAAAACTAACCATATGATTTGTTTTCTAATTCTTTTTTTGTTTTGTTTTTTGTTACCATCGAAACCTTACTGTCTGATGTTAGTTACTTGGCATTCCCATCGTGATTTTGTTGGGAAATGATCAACTCTTGAACAATTTGTCTGTCTGCCATTTTGTTTACTATATTGGGAACCAAGACTTCATGGTTTTTATCCAAATTCTTGCATTTCTCTGTGTATGATAGCAACAATTCAGACAGGTGTGAAATTTCATCTTAGTCAGACATCTTCAACATGATTTTTTTTGTTATCTCTCTCTCTCTCTCTCTCTCTACATGTGTATCTATCTATCCCTATCCCACCCTCTGTCCGAATTCTGTCTCCCCTCCTTTTCAAACTCTCTTTTTAAAACCCTTCTCCCCCTCCTTTTTATACTCTCTCTCTCTCTCTCTCCCTCTCTCTCTCTCTCTTTCTCTCTCCATTTTTACCCTTTTTTTTCCACTCAAATGAATATGATTTTGGAGGGTACGTGTTTGAGATGTGCATACACGTACATGTATGTCCACTTTCTTTTATTGTTCATCTGATCTGCTGATTTATCACTCTCTTGGCTTACTCTTCTCTACATCAGTGTCCATCTTAGTTTTCTCTATAATGTCATCTGTATGGATCAGAAGAGTGTTAACTCTGTGTAAAATGATATGATTAAACACTCTTCTGGTTCCAAACAGTATATGTTCTTTTGTGTCAAGCAACATGTACTTTCATTCCATCTTCCTTCTGTACTATATTCTCCTAACTCTACAAACAGAACAGCACTTCAGTTGCTTTGTAACAATTCATCAAAACCCATCTGCCTAACTCTACCGCTTTACCAAAATGAATGTTCTTTGATTTGCAGATTTTGCCTAACTCTACCCAAGCCGCGGGAGGACGGTGTACGGGGGTGGTCTCAGCCCGGCTTCACTCTCTCCATCCTCCTCGTCGCTAACTTTGGTCTTCTCATCATTGATCGTATCCTCTTGAAATAGCATCTGTGAGAGCGAGAAAGTCATTAATCCTATGTAAATGATGTGTGTTAACGCCCTTTCTGCTCTCACTCTCAGCAGAAAATTTCATCAATGCCTTAATATTCATTATTGGAGTGTTTAATGTTGTTAATATCCATCTTATTTTCTGCATGTGGAAGGATAAGAGTGAATTCAAGTATTTAGTCCGAGTTGTAGGCATGCTGTAAGCATCTGTTGAGAGCGAGAAGGTTATTAATCCTATGTAAAATGATATGTTTTAACGCCCTTCTGACTCTCAGCAGTCAATGTTATCAATGCCTTAATAGTACTGAGATGTTTAAAGATAAAGTTGAGTTCTGGTCATGCGATTGCATTGTGAAAGAAACGGTGTGGAATCGATCAGAAAAAGTTGATCATAATAGCAAGTAAGTATTGGTGACGTGTACTGCAATGTTCTGGAATCATCAAAATGATAAGAAATTTGGCCCAGTCTTGGTAAAGTTACAAGCACTGTACACAGAAAGATGTATATGGGACATGTGGCATAAAAATCTGTCCCAATTTTTATGATGTTACATCCCATATCTATAATATTAAGGCATTTGAAGAGCCATGCTTTTCAGGGAACATTTTTTTTATCTGATTTTTTTTATCTGATGTTCTTTCACACTTGCATAATACAATGATAACGCTCACAAATTTCACCTCTTCCCAGAACTCAACCTTCTCTTTAATATTTGTCATTGAAGTGGTTATGTTATTCTTATCTGTCTTATTTTCTGCATGTGGAAAGACAAGACGGAATTGGAATATTCAGTAAGATTTGCGGGCATGTTGTAAGCATCTGTTGAGAGCAATTGATCTTCTGTAAAAGAGAGCAAATTCATCCTATGTGAAATGATATGTGTTAACGCCCTCCTGGCTCCTCATTGATGCCTAAATATTTGTAATTGAGGTGGTTAATATTATTCTTATCCATCTTGTTTTCTGCTTGCGGAAATGTCAAGAGGGAATTCAATTGTTCTGTCAGAGTTGTAGGCATGTCACCAATACATGTGTTGACAACTTATTTTGGTTAAGTCATGCTATAAATTACTTGTTAAAGGCGATTTACGATAAGTACAAGCGTCAAAACAGTGCGACCATGAAACGTTTGTTGATGTAGAGAAAATTTGAATCAGTCGTCTGAATTTTGGATCAGAGGTCTGAATTTTGGATCAGAGGTGAAGAATTTCAGGTTAACGAATGCTAATTTGTAACACTGCCGGGTAATATATTATCTTAGTCACCTACTGTACATGTATGATGTGCTTATTAACTTCATTTCAAACAAACTGTGCTTCTATAATTGATTTGTTGATTTCTTTTTATCAACTAAAATCATAAGAGTCTGGCATGGGCCCGTAGTTGACTTACAAGTACTACTTTAAAAGTGCTTAATATACATTTTTAACAAAAATTGAACTGAAGATATATTCTTGTATAAAGATGTGTACACTGAGTGGTTAAGATTTCCTTGACCCGTTCTTCATTTGTCAGACATTCATTTTCAGTACAATGGCTTTCTCTTTGGGTTAATGCTGTTATCCATCACAAGGATATGCCAGGTACATCCCTCTTTCAATTTGTTCCAATCATTAGGCCTGTCTTCATCAGCTCAAGTTTGCCAGATGACCCTCTAATTTTATCTATCCCGACCGCAAATTAGCCAGTTAATTTGCGTCTTCATCAGCTCGTAGTTGCAATTAGCAGGATATTTGGTTGAGAAAATATCATGGGGAAATGTCGGTCTTGTTTACAAAATATCCCGCTATTTGGGAAATAACGGGCTAATTTGTGCCCGTCTGAGCTCGTTTGTGAGGAGCATATCAGTCTGGTGAAGACGCAATTTCAAGCTTCGGGATAATATTCTGAGTCTGAAAATAGCGGGTTATTTGACAACCTCGAACTGATGAAGAAGACAGGCCTATTGTCTTAACCCAAATCTTTGGCAGCTTGATACAGATGGGGTACAGATAAGATTGCCCCTGAACGACGACCTAAAGCCCTTTCTTGGGTGCTCGATGACCAGAGAGTAAGTGTTACGATTCATTGACAATATAAATCAGTGCTTGGAACTGTAGTAATAGTTCATTTCCAGTTTTAGGATTGTATTTGAATTGTTATTTTTTTTTTAAGTCTCAAGGACGTTTTTTCAAAATTATTCATTTGTATTTAGAAGTGAGAACAGGATTTGTAGAGGGATATCGGCTTTCAATTAGTAATGTTTTCTTTCTTTCTTTCTATAAATCTGTTGACTCTGGTAACCAAATTGCTGTCTACAACTGTTTTAGCATTTTTCTTTCCTTTTTTGCGGGGGGGGGGGGGGGGGGGGGGGGGCTGTAGGGGTCATATCCTCCAAAATGTTAAACTTCATTTACAAACATAATTTATTTGTGTATGATAAATGGTATGTTAAAATGAGGTATTAAAAAAATGGCTGTGATAAATTATGTACCCTCTGTGTACTTTCATGGCAGTCAACAAAGAAGATTTATATTTAACATGAATTTCTGTATTTATTTCAAGATATCAACATATTCATTTTCCCATGCACTGGTACATGTTTGTTTTTTTGCATAAAAAAGTAGAATCGAATCTGATGAACGAGAAAACACAAGTGCATATCTATATCTGTCAGAGTGCTCTCATCAATATCTAATATATTCCCAGTAGCCCATCTATCCAATTTTTTAGTCGTCAAAATGCATGATTCTTCGTAAATGAAGCTAAATTTACGTAAGTCCAGCCGGAAAGGAAAACAACCCTCTTTCCTTGGACAAGGAATAACGATCAACCAGAGATAAGTGTGGACTTACCCCCCAGTCTTTTTGAGTAGTCAAAATGCATAATTCTTCATAAATGGAGCTTAATTCAAGAAAATCAGGACAAGTAAAAAGGCCAGCCGAAAGGAAAACTGGCCTCTTTCCTTGGAAAGCGAATGACGATCGACCAGAGATGAGTGTGCAGTTACCCCTTCCCCCTCCCCCCAGGCATACATCAAACGGTCAGTTGGGAGCAATTTATAGAGGACTTGCCTCCAGTTGGAATTAATCCGCGGTAAAGCAATAAAAAGTGACCCTGACACTTCTCCCCATCTTTTCCAACATCCAATCTCCTCTTTCCCTAACCCTCTAGCCCCATTTACACTGGAGAAAACCCAATTTATTATTATTTTTTGTAAATACAGTTTGGGAAAACCCATACAGGACCGTCTGTGTCCCCTGTTTCTGATTGTTGTGAGTTGTACCCATGTGCAACTTGTTGCTTCACTAAATGTGACAGTGCAGAAGGGGGGCGAGTCACATGAGAAAAAACAGGACTAATTCACCATTGTTTTGAAAGCGAGCATTTACACTGCGAAAACCAGCAGAGTTTTGGCCAGCATTAAAAAAAAATAGGGTCTTTTCTTGCAGTGTGAATGCCTTTGTCTTCCCCTTACACACAGCCTTGTCTCCATAATCCAACTGACAGGATTAGCCTTGTTTCAAGATCCATGATCGCCCCAGTTTTGCGTTAATCTACACACTTATGAAATGGAGAGTGGCTGCCTGGCAAGCAGTAGATGGCAGGTTCAAATCTTGTTGGTTTCAAGATTTTTTCTGTCTTGTCATCAATTTTCTAATATGTAAATTTTCTAATATGTTACATATAATTTCTATGTTTGCGTTAGATATGCTCGTGCCGCGCCTTTTTTTATATTCTTATTGTTTATCCTTGATTTGTTACTCTCTTATTTGTCCTTTTGCTATATTTTTACCAGTCTCTGAGTGCATCAGTTGGTTGGGCGGAGGGACCTCTACGGTTACAGTAATTAAGTTTGCTCTCTTCTTCCCTGGCCGCCATCTTTTGCACTCAGCATATTGCTACAAAAATTTGTATTTGCACAGTTTTTGTCATTCCAATTTTGTATTTACCATGTTTATATTGTTATATTTCTTGAAAGTGCAGAATAAATAATACAATACAATACAATTACAAGATTGAGCTCACAATCTTTATTTATCGGGTGCAAGCCAAAATTTCTTTACAAAAATTGATATTACTCCCATTGAGTACACGTAGGTGAGTTGCTCTTGAATGTGATCAATTGATACTCTGAATAAACAGGGCCCAAACTCTTTGTTGTATATTAGGCTTTTTGTCTTTGAGACCATGGTCCCACCAAGACCAGGTGAAAAACATTTCATTACATTGACTACTGATTGATTGATTGATTGATTGATTGATTGATTGATTGATTGATTGATTGATTGATTGATTGATTGATTGATTGATTGATTGATTGATTGATTGATTGATTGATTGATTAATTAATTTTATTTATTCATTTCATATAACAATTGTTTGCACAATAAAGAATATAGTTGACAAAGTAAGATCAAAATTATGAAATGAAAAGGGAACCTACTGGAAAGCATAGCTTGTTTTTGTAGGTTCCCAAGAATAAATATGATATGAACATTATTATCATGAATCATTTTAAAGTGTCTTAATAATCACAGTAAAATAGATATAATATAATAACATATTTTCGTAAACTGTTTTAAAGTATCAAAATAATCCAAAAAAATTACAAGAAGAAAAGAATGACAAAACGGGACACAAAGGACAGGAAAATTACATAAAAATTACATAAAAAGATAAGACAAGAACTGAACTGGTCTCACTAAGGTGACTGTGGTACTAGTGTCAGAACCGAGGTCAAGATCACACAAAACAAGACAGAGACTGGTCCAGCTACATGTACATAACTGGGACCTGTCTTATAAAGAGTTGTGATTGATTCGAATCAATCGCCAGTCCTCCAATCAATTGTAAGTTTATAGTCTCCTTGCCCTTATGTACATAGTTGCGATCGATATCAATCACAGATACCTGATAATTTCTGATTAATCGCAACTGTTTGTTGGACGGGGCCCTGATATTATAGAGATACAGTATGCTAACACCTAAGCACTCTCATTCTCTCAAACCATCAGTCATTTTCAAATCATAAGTGTAGCATGATCTGATTGTGATTAAGATATTTGCTCCTGGGAAATCAGTGAGCCATCTTAATTCCGTTAATCCGAAACATTGGGTCAGATATCATTAAAAATAACAGTTGGATGACAGTGATACGGTGTCAGAGTAACGGCAGATCAGAACGTCTTGTGGTCCTCAGCCCAGAAACCTACATAGAGATCAGTGTGATAGAATATGTAGAACAATGATATGGATAAAGATCCCTGAATGACTTGAGATGAAGGCTGTCTTTACTAGAGACTAGGCTTAGGAGCAGAGCTTCTTCATGAGGGGGTAAAAACGTTCACTGCTAATAAATCAGCGGCACCTTTCTTGTTTACCGAAATCCTGCGATATGGTCAGTTGTCTGCTTTATCCCACAATTCCCTGACCCGTGGAGAGCCGTCATGTGTCGGCTGGCTGTAGACCGATCACATTACTGTCCGCCTCCGTCTGAAGGGAGATGGGTGTAGAGGGACTCACCGAGGTTGTCCGTCCAGGATATTGCCTTACAGGAGTGTCGTCAAGCAGTTCATAGCCGGTTTACGACTTCACTGGGGATTTGACGGAGGGGATCAACTGCTGGCGGAGATCCATTAGCGATGCCACCGTGGACTGATAAATGGCTTGGGTGATTGGTGCAGTGTGAACTAAAGCCATTTTGGCGGCGGATTTGTTATCCGATAGGGGGGCATTTGTCTGTATGCTTTGCACATATTTGGCCTGTCTCGTTTCGCTGGGGGGTGAAATCGTGTTTGGGAAATGAATGCGTGAGGGTGAGATTCTATTAGCTATTCTATATCAGTGCCGCAAAAAGGCACAAATCTAGGTTTAGAACCACTTCCATCTCCAAATATGCAGGATATCAATAACAATCATTCTTTTTCAGACACGGTAATCTAAATACATGTAGTACTTTCACATGGAAGCTTTAATCTATACCTACTCCTTTTTCCTGACGCCTCAGAAAATAGAAAGAAGATGAAAGGGTATATGAATTTAGCAGTTTTTACTGTCACAGTTTTCCAATTGGAGAACAGGTATCATCTATATTCTCTTTCCTCTTTCCTTGAAATGCTTCAAGAAATGTTACAAGAATGGTAAATTGTTAAGCTTAGCAGTTTCCCTTCTCCACCCTCCTTTGAAGCCTGTCTGTACTACAGGTAGTTTGGCCAGGGGGATTAGACCTTCCTGCAAGGTCACTGACAGGTGGTTATCTCATCAAATCAGCTCTCAATTAACCTAAGAAAAAGAGGATCATAGGGGACCAACGGGCACCGCTTAGGCATTGTTTGCTATATAGAGGGCGCATGTAGCTGTAAGAAGTGCAGTGGGACTTTAATACTCTCAGAGAGGACTGGTGCATCATCATATTCTGAAGACCAGCAAGGTAGAAAATCTAGTTCAAAGGTCGTAGGGTCATAAAAGTATTGGAAAATGCCATAAAATATCTTGTTACCGCGATAACTTGAAATGCGTTAAAGCGGAAGTGAGAATTAGACGGGGTGCGGAGGCAATATTTTCAACTGTGTTCTGTGAAACTCATGAAACACATTAAAAAATTACTAGTGCAGAAAGTTATAAAAAGAGAGATCGATTACTGTTCTCTCCCCAAAGATTCCTATTTTCCCTGCTTGCATATGAGAGTGTTGTCTGTAAATTTCAATAAAGACAAAAGTATTCATGAGTATGGTGGTGTTATTTCATTTTGATATGTTCCTATTCAGATTGGTGCATCACCATCAAAAATTACCCGTGCATGACATATATCGTCCTTGTTTTCACGAAGTGACGGTAGTGAGGAAAATCGTAACGCAAAGTGAATACAATTTTTTTCCACTACCGTCACTTCGTGAAAACAGCGACGATATGTCTGACAAGGTGCCATGCTCCAAAAGAGAGGACTGGTTACCATTCTCTGCTAAAAGATATTTTATTCATTATGTCTGAACATCAAAGTCATGTCTTTAAAGAAAGAATTAAACCCTGCAAACATAAGCTGATAATCTTATTTGAAATTGTCAGCCAGTTAATAAAAATCTTGTAATTGCTCCTGTTAGATTACTTAGCAGTTAGTCACATTGTAGACAGAGGACCGGTTACCATTCTTCTCCCCCAAAGAGCTTGTATTTTCCTCATAATTATGCACATCATATATTGGTCTTTAAAATGTCATGATCACAGGAATGGCAAGGGTTGCAGGAATAACAAGGTGCTAATTTCATTCTGCCATGTTCTAACCAAGAGTGGTGCATCATTATTATTCATAGATCAAAAGTGCATTTAATTCTAGGTCTATTCATGTGTCATGCTCCTTGAGAAAGGATCATGCACCACTCTTATTACAAGGTGTTAATTTCATTCTACCATGTTCTAACCAAAAGTGGTGCATCATTATCATGTATAGATCAAAAGTGTATTTAATTCTAGGTCTGGCAATGGGTCATGCTCCTTGAGAAAGGATCATGCACCACTCTTATTACAAGGTGTTAATTTCATTCTACTATGTTCTAACCAAGAGTGGTGCATCATTATTATTCATAGATCAAAAGTGCATTTAATTCTAGGTCTATTCATGTGTCATGATCCTTGAGAAAGGATCATGCACCACTCTTATTACAAGGTGTTAATTTCATTCTACTATGTTCTAACCAAAATTGGTGCATCATCATCATGCATAGATCAAATTTAATTCTAGGTCTGGCAATGTGTTATGCTCTTTGAGAAAGGATCATGCACCACTCTTATTACAAGGTGTTAATTTCATTCTACTATGTTCTAACCAAAAGTGGTGCATCATTATCATGCATAGATCAAAAGTGTATTTAATTCAAGGTCTGGCAATGGGTCATGCTCCTTGAGAAAGGATCATGCACCACTCTTATTACAAGGTGTTAATTTCATTCTACTATGTTCTAACCAAGAGTGGTGCATCATTATCATGCATAGATCAAAAGTGTATTTAATTCAAGGTCTGGCAATGGGTCATGCTCCTTGAGAAAGGATCATGCACCACTCTTCCCAGAATCACCAATAAACCCTTAAGTCTCCCTGCCTGCAAAATAATCTCATAGGGGATTTGAAATTCCCTGATGTTGCTATCTTGAGTGGTGCATTGACATCTTCCAAAGATCGTCAGTAGTGCATGAAAATGTAGGTCTTGAAAATTGTCACACTCCAAGAGAGAGGATCATTTACCAGGCTTTCCCCTGGTGATTCCACGACTCCTACTTCTGTAACATACACTCCACTTTTGATCTGAAGTATTTCATGAGCTTGGATGAAAACGAATCGTTTTAATTGTGTTTTATTCCCACCTAGAGTGGTGAAACTCCATTATTCAAAGGTCACTAATGCAAAACATCCAGGACATTGAATGTGATATTCTGGGAGAGAGGTTCAATTACCATTCTCTCACCAAAAGTCAGTCTTTGTGGATCAATCCATAAAGGCAGGATGAATTCATGAATAAGACAAAGACAGTTTTACTCAAGAATGTTCACAACTTCACACCCCAGCGAGTGCATAGAAGAGCAATGAAGAATATCTGTAACAAAATGTGTAATCAGTATTCCATAACAATTATGTGACATTTCAAAAGACTAAGACTCAATGTGAAAGGTATACTTTCATGTAGGTTTTGAAGTTAAACCCCCAAAAACATGCACATGTATATTGCATTGAAAAGTATACATTTTTTAATTTCAAACATTTAACTAAACTTGACTATACCACCTGTCACACTTGATGTTAGACAATTTTAACCCTTTTCAGGACAGATTTTTTAATTTTTTTTTTTAGGGCTAACTTGATCATATATTGTACTTCAAATAGGCAACAATAATACATTTCTTTCATTGCAACATTATTAAGATAAATTTTTAATGTCTCTAAAAACAATATACCTGGTGAAAATGTTATCAAAAACTTGTCATTAAAAACAATGTCACTCTCTCTATCATCCCCCTAAGTATTTTAAAGCTTATTTTCCTTTTTATAAAGGAATGACACAAAAATGATGCCAGTATTCGAGTATTTAACTTGACAATTGCTCTGTATTATAAAATGATATTGCATCCTCTAAGCCAAAGGCTATTGATTCAATTCTAGGAAATTATTCCAGGAGGAAAAATGTTGATTACTGCAATCACTCAAGAGTTTTTAGCCTTCAGGCTGGTTTTTGTCAGCGTTGAATGTACGTATAAGAGACTGTAGTCTGGAAGCACAGACTCTAATTTGACACGTTATCACAATTCCTACAGCCTTGAGCACAGCCTAGATCTGCCAGTTTCTGGCTGTGTCTGGAGCAGCTTAAGTACAGAGCCTATTGTAGCCTTATTTTGCAGACACCGGTGCGCACAATAGCTGACAAGGGTGTGTGTCTGCAAACTAACAAAACGGTATGTGAAGACTGATGAACTTTTGAACAAAAAGAAGCACATTTACTGTTAGCTTTCTGAGAGACCCGATAGATCTACTCTTCAACGAGATGAAATAGAATTCAAAGAAAACTGCTTGATGTATCTTGAGGCCGTGTATCCTTCCTTCCCCCACGAGATTTATTTTAGGATCTTTTGCGGTTTTGGAAGGTGTACCATTACAGGTATGCCTGTACTATTAGAAGCCCTTGAGATGTGTATGATGTAGACATTCTAACAGTATGGGGTGTGGAATACATGTCACTTGGATCATCTTCTCATTTTATTACATTATTTCACTTTTTCCCTGTAATCCTTGCTTTTATTATTCCCATGTGGTGATAGTGTTTATCCATCAATCTTGTTCTTCCTTTAGTCCTGAGTATTCTTTAATCTTTGTCACTTCCTCTCTCTCACTCTCTCTCTCTCTCTCTTTCACTTCTTCTTATTCTCTCAGTCTCTCTCTCTCTCTCTCTCACTCAGTCTCTCTTTCACTTTCTCTCTCTCTCTGTCTTTCTCTTATTCTTCACTATAATTCCTCTCTACTCCACTCACTCTCTTTCTTTTCTTCACTTTCAATCTTTTCTTTTCCTCTATGGGCCGTATTCTTTTGGACAATGATATCGAACTATATTGCTTATGATACAAGATATTATATCCTTGATTGCATAAATCAATATCACTAATCTGACAACAAAATTAAAAATGATCACAGGTTTGAAACCAAAAAATATGAGTGTATGGTTGATAATCATTTAGTATTTCTTTATTTATGATATTTGTTTTACCTTTCATAGGATCGAACACTAGAGGGAGCTTTTTGGTTTGCTGTGCTGCTGAACTTCAAGCACATCTATATCTACGTGGCTCCGGCATACTTTGTCTATCTTCTGAGGACATACTGTTTTACTGCGTCAAACAAAAGTAAATTGCTCTCGCTCTCTCTCTCTCTCTCTATTTGCCTTCGTCTCTCTCTATCTCTACCGTAATTATAATCTTGATTGATTTTCATAATGAGAATTTGCTTGTCCGGATTTCCTAATGTAATTTTATTATTAAGCAAAAAGTTGAGAGGGAAAGACACATAAACACTTTCCGGTTGTCGTAAATTTTTGAAAGATTTGTTCTAGTACAATTGTGAATCCTTGATTAGAACAAGGCATGAATTTGTACTTACTCTTTGTAAAGTGCTCTGTTCGTATTATGTTCTGAGAGCTGGGAGGATGTTAATTATATTTAAAAGGATGTGCTTCTGACCTAATATTCATATTCAATGTAGATGTAGAAACAGAACTGCAAAATAGTACAGTGTGCCACATCCATTTGCAGTTCGTTGAAATATATCGTACCCACAAAATTCCAAGGAGAATTCAGTAGAGCAAGAAAGAATGTTGAAAGCAGTTGTTAAGTCCACTATCACTGTTAAGTTGAATGTTGACACAGCTTTCATCAACTTTTTTTGTACCTGCAGATGGCGGTGTAAAATGGACAAGTTTTTCTCCTGTGAGATTTCTCTGTTTAGGTGTCCTGGTGATATCGGTGTGTGCCTTGTCTTTCGGTCCATTCATTGCTATGGTAAGTGTAATTAGCGTTTGATCTAGTGCTTCCTTCCAGGTTTTGCAAGGTCTGCCGCAAGGTTTTGAGCTAGCATCCTGGAAGAGCGTTGTTGTCTGAAGCCAATGGCCCTTTTCTCTCCTAACCGCATGACCGTACTAATGTGTATTTCGATATACCCATCCTTATCTTCCTTGAGATAAGGTACATTTATCAGGCATACATGTTTTGGAATTTGAGACATCCCTATTTCATCAAGCCTTCACAAGAACTTTTTATTCTAGATATCAATGCCATGCAGTTGTTTTTTATCATAGCAATTTATTAAGCCTTTAAACAGAGTTTATTTTTACAATGATTATGTACTCCCTCTAGTTTTAAACCTTAAGATGTTACAGTATTAGTCTTCTGGAGGTTAAAAGTAATTGTTATATCATATTACCATCTCAGTAGTTCTTTGCTTGATGTATTGAATAAAGCATTTTCCCCCCTATTTTTATTTGATTTATTCCAATATTTCTCATCTCTTTCTTTCTTAGGATCAGCTCCCTCAGGTCCTCTCCCGGTTGTTCCCATTCAAGCGGGGTCTCTGCCACGCCTACTGGGCACCCAACTTCTGGGCCCTCTACAACGTGGCCGACAAGGCCCTGACCGTTGTAGGTGTCAAGACTGGAGTGGTCTCTGGCGATGTCCTCAAGCACAAGGCGTCCATGACAGCGGGTCTGGTGCAGGAGTTTGAACACACGGTTCTACCCTCAGTCCCACCTATAGCCACTTTTGCGCTGACAGGGCTTACAATGTTGGTAAGCAAAAGGATGAGCTTTATCATAGAATTAGCTTTTTTCATTATGTGGCATGTAGATATTTTAATTTACTTTTCTGTCCGGTAATCTCTTGAAATGATCCTAGATATAAAAGGAATTTTTTTATTTTAAATATTACATGTACATGTAGTATCCTCATTTTGGAAGTAGAATACCCCAAAGAGGAAAATGCTGTTATAAGTATGATACTGTGGAACTAGAACCCACAACAATTTCTCAATGGATATAAGAGAAAAGATTGTGGTTACATACATCTGCTGCTACAGCTTTGAATGAACTCTTCTGCATTTCATAGAGTAGGCATAGTACATGTATCTCTGAAGAGAAACTGAAGGTTTCATCAAAGCTGAAATGAACTACGGTATTCAGAAGAAAAAAACAAATCAGTTACATGTTTTTTTCTTCATATTCAACTGCTTTGTCTTTGCTGCCTTATTGGCCTCAGCCAAGATATTATATTTTACTGAAGTATATACATATATCTTGGATTATGTAAGCGTAACACATGTAACCCCCCCCCCTCCCCCACTCCCTCCCTCCCTCCCTCCCTCCCTCCCTCTCTCTTCTCTTTTACTGAACAGCCGTCCTTGCTGCATCTATGGCGGTACCCAGGTGGTCCTAAAGGCTTCATCCGTTCTATCACATTATGTGCCTTCAGTTCATTCATCTTCGGCTGGCACGTCCATGAAAAAGCTGTCCTGCTAATGATTGTGCCCCTCAGGTATTCAAAAGATACATAACATTATGTGCTTTTGGGTTTATTTATATTTTATATTTCGGATGATACACATATGTCCATGAGAAAGCAGTCCTGCTAATGATTGTGCTCCTCAGGTTAGAAATGGCTATGATTCTTATGGTTTGAATGTCCTAGAGAAAGCTGTCCCGCTAATGATTGTGTCCCCAGGCATTCAAAAGATACATTATGTGCCTTCAACTATTTATCTTTGGCTGGGATGTCCATGAAAAAGCTGTCCTGCTAATGATTGTGCCCCTCAGGTAACAGACAAGATGCATCATGCATTACAGTGTATGTGTTTCTTAATCTTAGGTTAGCATGTCCATAAGAAAGGTGGCTGCTAATGATTGTGCCCCTCAGATAAGAAAGAAAATACACTTTGTTTTGGGTTGTTCATGTTTTTCTTCTTCTTCTTTGTATGGTATGTCCATGAAAAAGGAACCCTGCTAATGATTGTGCCCCTCAGGTTACAAATAGGACACAGCTTGAGTCTGTACTTGTTATCTTTTGTTGGCATATCCATGAGAAAGCTGTCTTGTCCATGAATGTTCCCCTTGTCTTTATAGAAGTAAACTCACAATGGGTTTTTTTTTTTATTGCTTATAAGTTGTTGTTTTTTAATCCTCGGTGGTGTAACTAGAAAAAAAGGATATCCTTCAGCTTAAAAAAATAGAAGCCATATTTTGTAAAGTGATCTCTACCATATTGCTTTGCAATAAATATCTCCCTATTTATTTAATTTTTGCGTGTAAAAAATGCAAGTACATAATAGTGAAATATTTAAACTTAAAAAAATAGCCTCCATTGATATGACCTTAAACTTGTGTGCAAACTTAGAATGCGATGATCAAATGCATTACCGGTACTGATATTGAAATATCCACATTCATTTAGTACATAGTATAAATGATGAATACTATTGTTCTTATTCTTTACCGGTATTTGTGATGACAGTATCATTTCCTTGCGTCATTTTCTTTCCAGTTTACTAGCTGTACAAAGCTTTAAAGATGCTCAGGTCTTCCTTCTATTATCTACTGTGGGACATTTTTCACTCTTCCCTCTTCTGTTTACACCAGCTGGTAAGAATATATCTTTAATTCAGTTTATTTTTGAAAATGTAATCATTAAAATTAAATGTTGTCATGTGTAGATTTTTAACATTAATGTTATCCCTTGCATGTCAAAGGAAACATCAGGTACATGTATATGTTTCTATAACTATGCATGTAATAGTTTGTTTTTTTAGTTAAAAATGTTTATCAGAGATAAGTTTGTAATTTCCCTTTCTTATTTCTTTATCCTTCTTTAATTACAAACCTCAGAACAGTGGACACTTTGAACAAAATGTGTATTTCCACCCCTCTGCTAGAGACACAATGATACAGTCAAAACATCCCTACCATCAAATTGTAAACCCCATATTTCTCTCCAATTCTTTTACAGAAACACCCATCAAAGTCTGTCTGATGATAGCATATACCAGCTTCTGCTTTGTGAGCATGGACTCTTGTTACAGGTGAGTCAATATTGATAGTGGTGGTTATTTTACCTGACAGCTAAGAAAGCAATAAATGCTTGCTAGTAAGCAACCAGAAGACCGACGGCTTAAGGTCCTCTCCGAGGGACCTGGTAATGAGGATTAGTGCCTTGCCAAAGGGCACTAGGGCATCGACTTGGTTTTGAACCCAGGTCACCGGATAACGAGACCACTGCTCTACCGACTGAGCTATCGCGCCTCCTCATATATATATGAAACAACTACCAAAAGTTACAAAGAAGCAAAATAATGTTAAAAGATGGTTTGTCCCTTTTGCAGACCTATAAACCTGAAGTTCCAGTAATCCAGTGTTATATTGAAGGGGTCTGTTATTAGAAACTTCCAACCAAATGAAAAAATAGAAACTGGCTTTCAACAAATAAATGTTAAATGTTCTCCAGATATTTATATTCTAGACTCGAGAATTTTTGTGTACGCAATTCAAAATTAATTTGACCGTTATATCTGTTGATTTGAGAATAGCTCATTCTGCAACGATATTAATACGGCACTAGATTTCATTTCTTACAAAGAAGTTTCAGAACCTATGACTGTAAATTTTCACACACGATATCCAAAGAAAGCAGAACAATATATATGTACTATTAATTGCTAGAAAGCCAGACACAACTTAAACATTATTAAATTTTGTTTCAGACACTGAAATTCTACTCCTAAAATTTATAAGTGACGGCTTTTGTCATTTTAAAGAAGTTGAGGCTTGTTCTAGATCTATATCTGATCTAAGGGGAATTGTTACAATTGAATACCGCAGTCTGGAGTTCAAGAAGCCACGAGTTAGAGTGTTGATAGAATCTTCATGAATTATCCCTCCTTTTCTTTGAATGAGAGAAAAAACAAGAATACAATTTACTGGGTTATATATATTCCTTGATAGTCATTGTCTAGATCAGGCCTTATCTTTAATCATCTAGAAATACTTTGAATTTGTGCTTGTTTATGCTTGAAATGTGTAGGTCTGGCTTCTTCATTGGCCATCTTAAAAATACATTTTAGAGTGTTGTAAATAAATGATTTTGCTTGAAATTATGTATCACCATAACCACATCCTTCCTTTATCTTCCCTATATCTTATCTGCAGACCCATCAACTACACGTTCTCCCTTCCACACCTCCCCTTGCTGAATCCCATTGACACCATGTACATTGTGGGGCTGGTCCCCCTGTACGTTTACTGCGACATTATACACCCTATATTGGGGCTGTCACAAACACTGGCATTCCTCCCTCTGTTACTGATGTCCGTTTATTGCTCCGTAGGTGTAATATACTCATGGCTGCGACTATACTGGACTACACTCAAGAGAGGGGGTACGAAAGTAGAACATAGCAAGCAAGAATAGATTCAAGTCAATTTGATAAAACACTATTTGATACAAATTTATGTGGTGAAGGTACTTATATTTGTAGCTTACTCTTTTTCCTTTGTTTCTTTGAACCCTCAACTTTGATAGATTTTATAAAGTAGAGGCAATTTCTACATAAAACAAGAATACTTCTCGTTTCTCTATGGGTACTTCTCGTTTCTCTATCATTCCAAATTTACATTGAATTGCCATCTTCTTGCAATGTTAAAAAATTATGTTTGATTTGATATTACAGTACATAAATATAGATGTTTATTATCTTCCAAAGATGCGACTCGTCGAGGCCATGCAAGATAGTTTGACAAGAATCATTTAAAAAAGCTTCAGATATGTTTTGCTTTCATTCTGATGATCAAAAAGAGTTTTTGTTATTATATAGAATACCCACCAAAAATTATTGACAAATATCATGGATTATTACTAAAAAAATATATGGAACGATTCTGCAATAAATAGGAGAACTTAGATTTGAATTCCAAAGGTTAGGGGAGCATAAGCCAACTGTGCCACTTGCTGTGCCACATGTAACATGCACAATGCAAATTACTGTTGTTTTGTAAATTCAAATTATCTTTTAATCATGTCATGTCATGTTACTGGTCTGATATTTCACAAAGCAATAAATAAATACTAGTTTCAAAAGAAAAATGTGAACATTCAATTTATTTCAGTTTGTTACACCATTTACTAATGTTGCTTGCACGAATGAAATGAGAAAGTGATTTTGCTACGATTCTCTTGCTGTATAATATTTTGTGTGTCTTTTACACCGAGTTACAAGGCCTGCGTACACCATACAACTCCATGAAAAAAGAATTGTGATAGAAATTGATTTCTTTCTAGATACATTCATTCTTCCCGGATGAGCCAGAGTCTAGTAATGAATAGTCATATTAACCTGATGCCAACTGGAATCAGGTGGCTCTTGTATCAAGCCTATGGCAATGAAAGAATTGGGTATATACCGATCAGGCCTTCTCTACCATCGGGAGGCTCAGGTTATTCCCCAAGGTCAAAAATCACCATTCATATAACCTCAATCAGAAATAAATAGCATTACATTATACTTGTATTTTCTTTTATGATCTGCAAACTCGGGGGTTGTAAAATTTGTGGCGGACTTGATACACCAAAAGAATCCTTGCATATTACATCTATATGTTGGTGAAGACGAACATGTGCATACATTACAATTATTGTGAAAGGGAGACAAATGAACACATCATTACAAAATAATACTTTGATTGTACTGTTTCTATGGATTAAGCACATGCTTCGATGAATGAATGAATATTGCACCAATATTTTATTATTACGTTATGTGACACTAAATATTATTTACAAAAGAGCACAATAAATAACAATAAGGTGATAGTTTACAAGTTTTAAAATTTAATTATAAATAAGTCTGAACTTGAACTGGAACTGGAAGAGACATTAGAATGTATATGTACAAAGTTTGTACTGGAATAAAAAATATAAGAAACACTTAATCACACTTTCATAGTGTGAAGCACATTGTAGATTTTAAAAAATTACAGAGTCACGCACTCGGGCTCTGCATTATCTCAAGGGTAGGAGAGAGAGAGAGGAAGAGGAATAGAAACGACAGAGGAGATCGGAAAAGAGTAAGAAAATATACAGAGAAGAGTTTGTAAGCAAGAGAGAGAAAGAGTTGCAAGGATTATCAAAGTACGAGTGAAACGAATCATCAGGCAAACTACTTTTTTTGGCACTTGTAATAAATAGATAAAGTGTAGATTAATCATTTGAAAAAACTTCAGCCTCCAAAATCTTTCAAGTACCGATATTTCATATAGTTCAAGAGCATGGTACAGTAGTGAGGCAATACAATTGCAAAATGTAACTACACCGCATTTTAAATACGGGTGGATCTTAAAACCTGATGAATAAATTATAAAAATCTGGAAGTTCATGGACTGTTATTAAGAAGTTGAAATGATGAATTCTTGATATGCAAATTCTCATGAAAGCATTAATTACTATATCATAAAAACCTGCAAGTTCATGTGCTGTTATTTAGAAGTAGAAATAATGAGTTCTCGACTTGCAACTTTTAAAGAAAGCTTAAACTATGTTCTTTAATTGATTTCTATTTTGAGTTGATAATTCTTTTGGCATTGCGTTCCTCCTGTCTGCAGCGTTTGAGCTTGTCGTCCTGACGCCTTATTAGGCCGGCCATTTCTGTGAAGAGAGCATAAACATCATGCATAAATATTAAACTTTGTACAGTCTACTGGTACTGATCAACTCTTTAAAGGTCTAGTAAAGATGGAAGAAGTGTTGAATACATAAACTGGAATAAAAACCAGACGCCTGTTTTAAATATTAATTCTCAGAATGTTTATATTTATTACAAGTGCACACCTAAACAGACACATGTTTATAAAGTAAATTTTAGAGTCTTTTAGCAGCTGGATACTTAAACCTATGTGATCCCTATACTTAGTTACAGCAACATTTCTCAGGCTTGCACAATTCCTCATAAACAACAAAGTAAACAACTTCTTTCAAAGACACCTTGATGCAGTAGAATTTAAAGGGAAACGTGCCTTAACCCTATTTTAACTGGGCTATTTCAGACCAGGTTTTTACTGGGGGGGGTCAATTTGACCCCCCCCCCTAAGATCTCGGCCGTTTCACCGCCGATCGCCGCGAAAATTTGCATACACATCAAGTGAAGTGTATAGAATACTATAGTAATTTCAAATTTTTTAAAAATTCACTCATTTGCATATTTATGGTAATTTATGCAAATAAGGTCATCAAATTCACATTTCTGCCCATAAATCATAGATTATTCATGTTTACATATTCTTTTTCACTACATATATTTATTAGACCATTTGGAATAATAATACGACACAAAAAATTGGAAGAGCCAGGTTATTCCTTATGTTATCTCTTGTTTTTATAATTTCTTATGTATTTTATTGTTTTTTTAACTTATGTATTTTATTGTTTTTGTTGTTTTATTTCATTTATAACTACAATTCAACTATTTTGACCCCAAAACAAACATCTAAACTTCAAACAAGACTGAATAACCAATGTTTTATCTATTTTTAGGAAAAATGACTTTTACATACGTTTTGTAGACAAATCACGAAAATGAGCGATTTTCGGGCTGACATGCAAAGACAAAAGGTCACGTGACCTTGTAACCGTAGGTCCGATTTTCGAAAAAATCGTTTTAAAGAAGCGTAAGACTCGAAAGTAAAAAGTCATGAAAGGAAAATTTTATATCTGCCGCGGTTTCGGAGTAGTCGCGAAATTTCTACAGGGGGGGGTCAAATTGACCCCCCCCCCCCAGTTAACATAGGGTTAAATGAGTGAGTTATCAATAATAATAATAATAGACATTTCTATAGCGCCGTCTATCTAGACAATTCAATTCAAAGGCACATTTATTATTACCCTGGCTTTAGCCTAGCTGCCATTACAGCGTTCTAGCATTTCAAGGGATTAATTCCTGCCAGGCACCCATTTACCTCACCTGGGTCGAGTGTGGCAATTGAAGATAAATGCCTTGCCAAAGGACATAAGTGCCGTCAATCATTCTGTAAAACAGAGTTGGAAACTTACCTTTATTTCCTTTCTGTAGTTGATTACCCATTTGTGAGAGAGCAGCTAGTCTTTCCTTCAGACTCTTCAAGCTGTCAGACCGATCAGGCTGGTCGTTGCTTGTGACATCTGAAGGATTATGGGAAAATATACAAAATACAAACAGTTAATAATTCTTTGCTCCATGTATATGTGATTAGTTTGCTCTGTGTCATGTACAATGTATGTAGCTTCACATTATTAACTGAACTTGAAATCAATATTCAAGTCAATGAAAGTAAACAATTGTCCTACAGAAAGAAGTAAAGTATTTCTTCTGGCATTTCTTCTTACGACTTAAAGAATTGTGTTGTGGACTATGCTAATATATCTGTATTTGCCTACAATTAAGTCTACTTTATTCAATAACAAACCCACACTGGAAATATAGCAATTAAGAATTAGTTCCAATTAATCAGTTCTTTTGAAAGGTGTAAAATGTATACGTTTGTTCACTGAAGTTCTTTTAGAATACCGGTAGATAATTTCTTGGGGTGATTTTAATGCATCTTAACACAGCTCTCTAGCGCTGAATAACTACATGTAACATCTCCCATTTGTTTCTTCATCTTCATTGCTTTTGAAAATGGTATCTAAAGTATATCAATGTCACAACACTTACCAGTACTGTAAGAAGTGACTGTAGTGATGGAGCTATTGTCATCATCATCATCATCATCGGTAATGATCAATTCACTGATCATCTCCACATCTCCATAGCCGCTCTCAATTCTGTTCCTCTGATTAAGTGCCTCAAGGTCTTTACTACCAAGTCTAGCTTCCCTCGTGTGAACGTGCCCTGGCTCTGGGACTTCAATCCTGAGTGGAACCGAGATGTCACTGGCGGTGGTAGAACCCGTCTCATGGGAATGATTAACTTTACGTGTGAACGCAGTTTCTCTTGAACCTTGATACTCTGAAGCACCATGGACACCATGGACACCAGGACGGACTGTACCCGACGCTTCACGTTTGGTGGTACACGCACTGTCTCTGACATTACCAGTGTTTGAACTATGCTTTGCAGGTCTGTTCACACTATACGATTTAGTCACCGTGCTTCTCACGGAACGTTCAGTGGTGTCTTTCGCACTGTGTGTAATGACGGCGGCCCCTGTCGTGCAGTGTCTCTGAGCCCTGTTTACAGCAGGTCCAAGGGATGTTTCTCTATCCGTCTGTTTGGCGTGACGTCCCTGCAGCTTCAGAAGGGCTGTATCGCTCTGCACTTTACCGTGAAGACCGAGGAGATTGGTGACTGGGGAGGAGGGCGTCTGCAGCTCCACGTCTCCCTTGAGATGGAGATGCTGGTAGGCAGGAGGAGGAGGAGGTGTGTTCTCGCTGTCCAGTTTGTACGGGGATGATGTCAGGAGTGGAGGGTCTAACATATCTGCACAAAGGAACAGAGATTGACATGGGTGTCGGTGAAAATCTCATTGCATCATGTCGCAGACATAGAGAACCCACGGAACTCATGGGTAAGACTTTTCTTACAACACATGTTTACAATTTATAACTTTACCTAATGAGGATTACCTCCCTTAATAATTTGAATACAAAAAACATACACATTTTAAATCTGTTGATAAGCCCAAATTGAGTAGACAAAAATGCCAGGCACAATAGCACATGGCAAAGAGTTTTCTCTCTTCCAACCAAAATCACTTGTTTCGTCAAATTCTTATAATCACCAAATCTAAACTCTAATACATAAAGACATAATGATTCAAGAGATCTCCTGCCAGCCTTCATCTATCATGGGACAACACTGTAGCCATTATAGGTGATGTTAAATGTTTACAGATATCCTCTACCTCCATTAATTACTACCAGCTTTCCTTCATTTAGGAACCCATCGACTATTGAATTCTCTCTTTCCCATAAGCTTAATACAGGAGTCACCTGGTTCCAGTAGGCAAGAGGTTAACTACTGTTTAAAGAGAAGGTTGAGTTCTGGATAGAGGTGAAAACTAATTTGTGAGCATTATCATTGTATTATGCAAGTGTGGAAGAACATCAGAATAAAAATGTTCCCTAAAAATCATGGCTCTTCAAATGCCTTAATATTCTAAATATGGCATGTAACATCATAAAAATCGGGACAGATTTTTATACCACATGTTCATGTAGTCGAATATACATCTTTCTGTGATCAGTGCTTGTAACTTTACCAAGCCTGGGCCAAATTTCTTATCATTTTGATGACTTCAGAACCAGTACACACCAATACTTATATGCTACATGATCAACTTTTTCTGATCGATTCCACACCGTTTCTTTCACAATGCAATCGCATGACTAGAACTCAACTTTTTCTTTAAAACCAACATGAGAAGGTAAAGATAGCTTGACTAACCTTCTGTGTTTGGAGGAGGGACTGAGTGGGAATCTCTCGCTGGTTCCACGAGCTGATAAACACCATGCCCATTCACTGAGTTGAAGGTCGATTTTTCTTTCAGACCGATTCTAAATTGGAGGGAAAGAATCAAATAGGAACATACATGTATTCAGTTTCCACTTGACAGCTCAATTACTGCCATGATACACAAAACTTCAGAGCAACATTTCCAGCATTTTTGATAACAATAGTGGATACTTCAGGGCACCAAAAAACAAAAATTAACATCATGCTCAGTAAACTGGGAACGAAAAACAAAGTTTGGTTGGTAGGAGAAATCATTTCTCTACCAAAAATTGTAATGTTGTCCCCATTTTTTTACACAGCTTATGGAAAATAATTTTCAGTTAAAAATAGTCTGGATCCAATATGATTAGCATAATCCTTCCATTCTTTAACACTGGATGGACAGAAACTTATCTTTTGTATTCATATTTGCTACCTATGAAGTACTAACCTTATACTTTTCTTGGTAATTTAAATATCAAATGTCGTCTTAACTCTTCAGTTCTAGTAATTACATACAAAATCTAAGATATCATTGAAGGTGTAGCATAAGAGAACAACAACACTCTAGAGAAACTGTCTTATGTTTTGGTTTTTAACTGTCAACCTACCTGTCTATTCCGGTATGAATACTAGCCTCCTTGTGACCGGACTGTGTATCCTTCAAGGCAGCCATGTTGGCAGAGAAGACACTCTTGACCTCCTCCAGAAGATCCTTCAGCTCCGAGGAGACGTTGTGGGCTTCTTCCACTGCTCCCGATGTCTCCTGGAGAATGAATCAATAACGGGGAATGTTAAGAATCAATCAATCAATCAATCAAAAGGCAGTTCTCATGGTTTAGCCTATATGATGCAAAATCTTTCTTAACTGTGGCAGAGAGAAAAGACTTGGTGAAGAATTTAGATTGTTCAAAGAAGGTACATTTAGGCATACATTCTACAAGAATTCAAACTAAACAACAGGTTTAAGCCTAGTTTAAAGTCGAGTTTAACAAAAGAAGTTAAAATGAGGTCTAAAAGTTCCCTTAAATTTAATAACATGACTTTAGTCCCTGCATGAAGTCAACTTAATTAGTACATGTAGCATCAAAGCCTTACGGTTCGCTCCACCATGAGACAATGTACCACCTCACAAATGTCCCCAAAGTAAAATTGAAACACTTCATAAAAGGACATTTAACGCTTGTATATCTTCTTTTTTTTTTTAAGTCATTTCATTTCATGCATTGAAATTCTGTAAGGAGGTGTGAAAACAAGTAAGCATGAGTCAAAACATGAGTCGAGCAGTATGCAACAAACAAGATCTTTCAATATCCAGCTAAATAATGGGCACCGAGTGGTTCAGTGAAAATAAAGAACTCTGCCAAATAGAGGATGAGAATTGTTTAGTTTTTGTGATTCAATACAAGTTATAAGGTGTCTTGGCACTCACATGTCTGTCTGGTTGGTGATCTCCCTGTATCCCAGACGTGTTCATGACAACCACCGGGATAGGACTGATGTAGTTTCTCCCCACCAGTCCCTCCATGGCCTGAACGCTGGCCGACTGCAAAAAATGACTGGCTACCACTCCGGTCGAGGCCTTGCCCAAGGACTGCTGGATCTTGGTGAGGGTGGTGGCGGACTCCGATGTCTGGACCTTCTCCACCGTGGTCATCCTCTGCTGGGTGGACATTGAGGATTGGTTGGGCGTGGTCTTGGACGATGAACCCCTGGTGGTCATTCTCTGCTGGGTGGACATGGAGGATTGGTTGGGTGTGGTCCTGGAGGATGAGGCTCTGCTGGTGGCAAGGGTTCTTTGGAGTGCCTTTAATCATGATCATGAATATAGACAATAGTCTGGGTTACATTCCGTGAAACAAATCATCTGCCTAGAGCCCCAGGAGAGTAAATCTTTACCATTTTGACAGGAATTTAATGTCTTCCAGGCTCTCGGGAGACAGAAATCATGGATGGCACTTTCCTTGAACACGACAATCAGGAATAGTGTCTGCATTTACGTGCAGATACTAATAACTGCCCTAATTCTACACTGAACAGATTTGCCTCACACCAAGTGAATGATTCTGGGACCATGCTCTGTCCAAAATTCTCACATGTAATCAGATTAGAATCTATCTTTTGGAGGTTGCTTCGAAATCAAATCTCTACTACAAATGATCATGAACAGCAGCACTGAATTCTTTAATCACTACAGAAATTTATGTTCCCTGTGAAGTTTATATATATGAATAGTGACTGTTCCCAACAACAACAATGGGATCAATGGGTACCGCTTAGGCATTGCTGGCTATTTAGAGGGTGCAAGTATCTACAAGTAGTGCAGTCCCGCTCTAAAACAAATATAAAAAACCCATTCACTTATCTTTGTCTTAACGAGCATAAATAGTGTTTGTTTTTAAATATGGTCCAATTTCATCCAAATCAATTTGACTTTTCTCTATCATATATCTAAAGTAGGACTGAGGTGAAGTAGGACTGTGGTCTAGTAGACATACCTTGAGTTCTAGTTGATGTCTGAGAGTCATCTTAGCGATGGCTTGTTCTTGCTCCTCAATCAGTCGCTGGGCATCGGTGTGTTTCAAAGCAGCCTGGAACATTCAAATCATACCAAAACATGTATACCTAATGAGTCACATCAAATGTGGTACATCACTGTTTAATCAGAAAGTTTTGCTAAATTAAACTTTTGGCAGTTGGTAATGATGGCATTTTTCAAGGCACGGAAGATCCAAGTCTTCCATTTTGTTCTCTGTTATGATTCATTTATTAAGAAGCATGAAACTTCCACGACTCTGGACCACTTTCTAGCATGCTAAAGTTTTGAAGATTAATTCACCAGATGAGTTTTTTCCTGTAATACTTTTCCAAGAGATAATAACACAATACTTATTTGGAAGAACAGGTAAAATTTAGCACCACAAACAAGAGTTTTTGATCATGGTTTCAACTATTATTTCCAAATTTGAGAAAAGTTTTGTTAAACTACTATGTTAAATCCCTTGGATACAATCTCAGTATGTATGCTCTGTAGCAATACAGCTTGGTAAATAAACAGCAACGACATTCTTGTTCAATCGAAACCAAAACATACCAAATTATTCCTAATGACTGTATTTACTGGTAAAGCAGGTCCTACCTTTTCAAGGGCAGTTTCTAATTTGGTTACAATGTCTTTCTGTGATGTCCTTTTGTCGGACAGACTCTTGAGCTTGCGTTGGAATCGCTCCATCTGCTCCTTCAGCTTGAAGACCTGCTCCTCCAGGAGGGCCTTCTCAGTCTCCAACAGAGACTTCTCCTGCATCGGGAGTTATCAAAAGAGTCGTATGAAAAAGAAGAAAGAATTCTTAAACATTCTGAGAGCTACATGTACATGTATGACAAGAAATGAATCCAACTGTTCTCCTATCTTTGTCATGTAAGGTACTGTCTTGTCCCGTTCTCGTCTCTGTTGGCATCCCCCCCCCCCTTTTTTCCCCCCTATTTTGTAGTTCCTTTTGTAGTTACGGACTTGTTAATTTAATTACTCATTATTCCTAAGTATCATTTGAAGCGTCCACACTTGTACAAGCATCGCTTTTTAGTAGACCCCCCCCCCCCCCCATTTCCAATGTATTCCTAAATTTGTTGTAAATAATTATAATTGATTTGAAATGTTTTGTTTGAAACATAAATAAATTGAAATTGAACTGTTGCGAACAACAACAAAAAATTGCAGCAAATTCCTCTCCAAAAGGAGGAATAAGTTTTAGTATAAAACTTGTCTAGGTTCTTATGATGGATGTATGTACGCAGAATCCACAACAATATGAAATACAAATAGATGAATGCATCTGCCTTTTCCGTAGGCTTCCACATATCAGTTTCCAATTGGCTCTTGATCATTAATTGTGCTGTGTTCTGATTATCTCAAAATCTCATGTTATCTCCTCCAGACTAAGCCTCTTGGTCCTTGGTTATCTGGTTATTGCAGTAACAAGATTTCGTCTTGGGTCTTGTGGGACCATTTAAACCCAGAAAATCCATGAAGCCGTCATTTTTATTCTTGTGTACCTGAATAAGGATTGTCTAAAACCTATGAAATGTTGTGAAGGATATTTCCTGAGATTTGTTTACAATCATACCACTCTGTGACCTTTGATATCTGACCTCTTGAACCTAGACTCTAGTCTAATCATACCTTGATAGCTGCACCAAGGTTCTCCTCCAGTCCATGTATCCTGATCTGTAAGAAGTCTACCTGGTGTCTTTTGGTCAGTAACTCTTGCTGCACACTGTCTGCTATATCCACAGCTAGGAAACACGAGGAAGGCATACATTTCACAACAGTTTTATAAAACACAGCTTAGTAAAGGGGCTACTAATATGTCATTACCTTAAGCAAGATAAGCCATTTTGAACTAATGTACATAATAATTAGTTTAAAATATGAAGTATTTATGATATACGTACAAAGAAATACATGTGGTAAAAGGAGAATATAGCAGACATTTGAATCAATTGTGTTCATGTGAGCAAACGTCAGAGTTGGTGTGTATTTTACTGATATTTGAACAATCAATTCCATGATTCACTGCAATACCGTGTGCAGTATTTAGTCTCTGTCGAATCTGCGACACAACCCCTAAGTCCACCATAAATCAATACCCCTTGCATCGGTAGACTTGGTGGCCCTGAGAGCCTCCAGGTTCAACCGGAGATCATGCTCCAGGCCTTGATGCAGATCTGTAGATGGCCCATGTTTGACATATACTAACTCTAAAGACCTTTGAAGATCTACAAAGAATCTTACCCCTCGCATCGGTAGACTTGGTGGCCCTGAGAGCCTCCAGGGTCATCCGGAGATCATGCTCCAGGCCTTGGATTTGGAGCTGTAGTTTGCTCCTGGTCTTCTCTTGGGATGCCTCAAGATCCAGGTAACGGGTCTCCAGGACGTCTTTCTCACTGGTCAAATGCGTGACCTGGAGAGTCAATCAAGATGGTATCAGTACTATTGAAACTATTCTGCAGGTGGTATCAAGTTATGTCTATCACTTTTTAGATTTGTTAAAGATTTGATTGTGCTTTTGGAACAGGGCACATTAGTTAAAGGCCATCTTTATTGATGACAAATGCCATGATGATACAGAATTTATGGACTAACCTTCTGTTGAAAAGTCTTAAATCCCTCCAACAGTCCTGCCTTTCCCTCAATCACCTTCTCCACCTCACCGTGTTTCTCTTTGACAGCTTCCGACAATGTCTTCACTTCCAGATCAAGAGACTGAATTCTCTTCTCTCTGACCTTCAACTTCCTGTTCAGGTCATCCTTCATACCTTTGACCTCTTCGCACTGCTTAGTCTTCTCATCCAGGAGTTTGATGAGATTATCCTTCTCCTGCCTCGCATCAGAACTTGTCCTTTCACTGGACTCGATGACTTGAGTCAGATTCACCTTCTCTTGATACATCATCTGGTACTCGTGCTCCCTCTCTGTAACCTGGCTCTGTAATCTGTTCTGGAGACTGGTAGCCGAGCCTAGCTCCTTGATTCTCTCCATAGACATCTGCTGATAGTGGTCCCTCTCCTGCGTGAGAATATCAATCATCTTAGACTTCTCCACCAGTTGTTTTGTGAGGTCCCCATGGGTGCTCTGTAGCTCCTCGAGCTTAGCAGATGTCTCCTCCAGCACAGTGGCGAGTCTATCTCTGCTCTGGTTGGCCTGTTCCCACTCGGAAGTCTTCTTCATCATCTCGAGGGAGAGTCTGCTGTTCTCAGATCGATGGGATTCAAGGTCAGCCAGGAGTTGACTGGTCTTGTCCACTGCTTTCTTCTGCTCCTCGCATTGCACGTCAAAAATCTGTGAACACCATCATGAAAGAAGGATGAAAAAACATTTCTAAGACACCCTACAAAGATATGACACGCTATGAGCTGTATTAACTGTTTCACCATATTTCAGATTTATCTGATACTTTATCAAATGTCATGAAAAAAGGTACTGATTTTATATCATTTGGGGATACCAGCTGACTTAATCTACTGAGCCTGAAAAGAAACTGAGACATTTTACAGGACAATATCATCTGCTGAAAGAAAAAAATGACACTAACTCTGTGTTTTTGGATAAAAGCTAACACCCATCTGATTCCCAGCAAACTATACAGTCTGTACAATATAAATATCAGGGGGAAAAAAATGAAAAGGATATTTCGAAATAGCCTAAACTGGCATATGAAAAGAAATTGAATGAATAAACTACAGAAATTTTGTACATGAGCCTGTACATAACAATGAAAACAAAGTTGTAACTGGTCAAAAGCTTGTCGCGTGATATCGACTGCGAGGGTCGTAATGAGCATATTTCACTCACGGTTAATTTTAATGTTATATTGACCGACCAGTCAAATTAGTATATTTTTGTGTCATACCGTATTCAAGCAACTCTGCGCACTAGTGCGTACCCATTCATTGATTGCATTGTCTTAGCTATGCGCATTTGACCGTATATGAGTGATGATTTCCCTCATGATCATATTTGCCTTCAGCGCTGCGCTGTTTGTGAAAATATAACCTCTAGGCAAAATATAAATCCCTTCGGGGGTCCAACAAATTGTATACCGCACACCCTACCAGTCAATATCTGTATCATACCCACCTTCTGTCTCAGTACTGCCTCGGCCTCTGCTTTCTGCGCTTCTAACATCTCCTGCATGTGTCTGACCTCTAGTGACCTTGCTTCAAGCTCTCTCTGGATGTTGGTCAACCTTTGACCATCTTGTGACCTCAACTCGCTGGTCTTCTCCTTCTCTTCATTCAGCTGGGTGGTGAGGGAAGCATAGGTTTCCTAATACAAGATATGAAGAAAATTATCAGACAACTCACTCCTAGATCCGAATGACTGGTCAAATGACTGGTCAAATGACTGGTCAAATTTGGTCACTTTTGATTCATATCATTCATTTACTCAGAATATCACACATTTTTTGTTTTGTTTTTCAGGACTAAGCTTGCAATAGTTTCCAGTTTAGAAAATTCAGCATAGTGAACAGATCCTCTTGGTGAATGATTAAAGCATTACATTTATTTAAAAACAGAATACAACTTCTGTATTAGTATACTACCTGAATATTCTTTATAAAATTAACAAAATAAAAAGACAAATCTACAAAAACATTCAATTAGTCAAAGCAACCAAAGTCTTTTGATGGAAAATCAACTTTCATAGCTAATTGCTCTGAGAAAAGAACCGACATCTCTAGTCAAATAATTTGTCTTCTCACCTTGTTAGACTGTAGAGTAAGGTTGGCATCGGCAAGTTGGAGTTGTTGTTTGGATATCTCTTCCCTAGCTGCTTGCATGTTATTTCTATCTGCATCCAATTCTGCTGTAAGGTCATCAATCTATCATGGTAACATGAAAACAAAACTTTTTTGTTTCTGAATTTGAAATGCTGTTCATTTGTTGTTTCGTATTATGATACCGGTAATAGAAAGAAAAATATTGATTTGTATTGAATGAAAGAAAATAAAACATAATGGAATGATATGAGTTTCCTAATGAATATCCAGAATCTCAGATTCAATATTTATACATGAAGAAAATTTAGTAAAGCAAAGTAATTTTTTAATCCTTTTCTATTTTTATATCAAAATCCTCCATACACTAACCATGATGTTTTTCAGTTTTGTCTTTGAAGTCACTACACTTAATTGCTCAACATAGCATCATACATTTTTCACCAACATCACCTGACATCCTTTCATAAAAATCTATCTATCTGTTCCAATTACTATGTAAAACGTGCCACCACATGGTCTTAAGTTATAACCGCTTGGTGGACTGCTCTAGAATTTTCTAGAAAGAGACAGGTTGTGTCGAAATTATGTCAAATTACTTCAATGAGACTTAAATCAAACGATACAACAGAACATATTATGACTTTCATTGTATACCAGGATGGGATGGCAAGAATAACTGAGTACCTTTTGATGAGATTGGTGTCTCTCCTTCTCAGCCTCTTTCTTGAATGCTTCATACTGACCAACCAGAGTAGCAAGCTCCATGGTCTTGAGGGATAACTGCCTGCTGGACTGCTCTCTAAACATTGAGAAAGAAAATAGATTGACAAGAGACCATCGATCACCCGTAGCGATGGAAATATACTTATTTGTGGTCCCTGTGTTAAACCTATGGAAATTAGATAATTCAGCCCTTCACATCTTCACATTCCAGGTTACCTATTAAACTGGTAATTTGTTTGATCAAAGAAACAAACATCATTTCAAGGCAAAGCCACAGGTCAGTTGATAAGAAGAGCGGCAATATTAAGATACAGGGATATCAGTTCTGGGAAAGGGCAATTCCTTGCCACCCATTGCTTTTTATAAATAATTATTTGTGTATACTATGGAGCTAATTACTATGGTGATTAATGCATTATTGATTTAATTTGTTGTATAATTAAAATTGCATCAAAGTTCAAAAATGTAAATTTCTAGCAATATGCAGTAGTTAAAATATGACTTATGCATAACTTATGAGGATATGATTTGTAAGAATCTCTTAACTTCCTTGAGGTGTACAATAACAGGGCCAGATGTTTCAGCGTGATACAGAAGTCAGGGCCCTGTTTCATAAAACTTGTTATCAATAACAAGTTGAGATAATATTTTATAAGCTACTAAAATAGTATACAAATATACACTGCCTTGAGAGGTTCTGGTTAAAACTATGCGCAAGAGATGACTCCAATAGTACTATTTGCTGAGGGGCACAGCCCCGAAGCAAATGGTACTTTTGGAGTCACCGAGGCCCATAGTTTAACCAGTACCTCGAATAGAAGGCATGGTATATTTGTTTTATATCCTGCATAAAAAAAATTATTAAAAAAAAAAAAAAAAAAAAAAAAACATTTTGGGGAAAAAAAATTTAGAACAAAAAAAATGTCAATTTTTATCTAAAAAGATTTAAAATATTTTATTTTCATTAAATTAAGATTTGAAAAAAAAAAATTGATTCAATTAAAAAAACAAAATCCCAGTTTTGTTCAACTCCCAAATAGTAAACCAAAATAGTACTCTCATATAGTACTTTCTAAAAATAGCTCAAATATTTTTGGTCATGTGACGAGCTCTCAACCAATCAAAAGCCGACACATTTTTGATGCAGGATATAATGGCATTTGATTGGCCGAGAGCAGATTCGTCATAGGAATTTAGCATTTGATATTGATAACAATATTTATGAAACGGGGCCCTGATTTTAAATGTTGAGGACATTTACTGTAATTCTGCTAACTGTGTCTGCAGCCCGGCTGCTTGCTGTCGAGCGTTGGTGGCTCTATCAGTGAGAGTTTCCAGTTGCTTGCTATGATCCTCTGTCGCATGCAAAAGTCTGTGAATCAATGAATGGGCATCACATAAATCTTATTAAAAAATCTCTAAAATTTCTTATTTTGTTCTTTTCTAAATCAAGCAATTATCACATGAAGAATACCTGGTTCTACAAAGGTACTGTAAATTGCAGTTTTATCCTTACAATGTTTACAATCTTTGAAAATATTATATTCATATAGATCAACAGGTCGTCCCATCCTGAAATCAACCCTCAATACTCTCTTCATGTCTCAAGGCTGATAAGGCTTACTGAGGGAATGTGAAGACATTATATAAAGGAATACATCAGTGAAGAAACTCACATTTAACTAGATGGAACTTCAACTGCGCACAGTCGAAAATGATGCCTCCGTCATAGAGCAAGTTTTCAAACCAAAACAGAAGAAATTTTTCAAATTCAAGTTCAATTGTAATCCATTAACAACAGGTTCTCAGAATATTGTGATTACAAGCAATTTCTCAAATACATATATGACCCTTTGATCTTTGACCTTATGACCCTAAAATCTACTCAGTTCATTGGCTCTGCAAGATGTCCTGAGTTTAATAGTAATCCATCTGTCAGTTCTAATGAGAATGCGTTCACAAGCTATTTTTGCATACATAGTGAGCCCATGACCTTTGACCTCATAACCCAAGAATCTACTCAGTTCATCGGCTCTGCAAGATACATACATGATCTAAGTTTGGCAGGAATCCATCAATCTGTTCTAATGATAATGCGATCACAAGCTATTTTTGCATACATAATGAGCCGCATGACCTTTGACCTTGACCTCATGACCCCAAAATCTAATCAGTCTATTAGCTCTGCAAGTGACATATATGACCTAAGTTTGGCAGGAATCCATCAATCGGTTCTTGAGATAACGCGATCACAAGCTGTTTTTGCATACATAATGAGCCATGTGACCTTTGACCTTTGACCTCGTGACCCCAAAATCTACTCAGTTCATTGGCTCTGCAAGATACATACATGACCAAAGTTTGGCAGGAATCCATCAATCGGTTCTTGAGATAACGCGATCACGAGCTGTTTTTGCATACATAATGAGCCCTGTGACCTTTGACCTTCAACCTTGTGACCCCAAAATCTAGTCAGTTCATTGGCTCTGCAAGATACATACATGACTAAAGTTTGACAGGAATCCATCAATTGGTTCTTCAGATAACGCGATCACAAGAACGGGACGTATGGACGTATGGACGGACGGACAGACAACCGAAAACATAATGCCTCTGGATACTTCGTAACGGAGGCATAAAAATAGGCTCCACATTTAAAACATAGGGGAATTTCATCAAAAATAAAAGACTTTTGGTTGCTGAGTAATATCATGAAATTATGAAATTATTGCATTCTTACATTTCATAAGAACCTCATAATTTTAACAATTACATGAACACACTAATCAAAGTCTTGCTATTTTCCTTTATGACTACCTTTATATCTAACCCTGCATTAAGATAGCATTGGTACAATACAGGATCTGATCTGGAAGCAGTTAACTGCAACTCACTTTTCTCTGTTTTCAACGGACAGTGCTCTAGTCTGCTCCTCAGCCTCTTTCCTCACAGCCGCTAGTTCCCTCTTCAGGTCTGTCACAGACCTCTCCAGCTCTCTGATAGCTTCTAGTCTACCTCTCAGACTCTCCTCCACTAGCCTCACAACATGGGAAGGTGGCAGGGTTCGAGTGAGGTCGTCCCCAGGTCTGGTGGGGGAGGGGTACTGCAGTGAGCCCCTGGGGTGTGGTTGTTGATTGGCCGAGAGCAAGGAGCGGATCTGCTGCAGAGCGGAGGAGCAGGATGAGGCTGTCTGCTGGGTTGAGTCTGCTCTGTGATTGGCTTCCAGGAGGTTCTGTGAGGAGAAATTAAGCGGTTGTCATGGCAATGATGAAGTGACTGTAGAAAAAGGGCCAAGAGACATCAAAATGAAAAGTGTAAAACCTGTCGGTCTGACATGACATATACAAGAACAGACCAGGAATGAGGCACACATCACTGGTCATTTGCTTCACAAATACTCTTCACACACAAGTCACAATTAATAAAAGGGAAAAATCTGTCCATTGATGATAAAATTAACCACTAATAGAACAAAAGTACATAAGTGAAGACAGATCTGATGCTACAATACAAGGCAATGATTCTGTTCATAATCGCACAAATAAACGTTCCGGAAAATGTTCCCTTTACTCTGTCAAAAGAGTAATGATAACAATCACCAGTGTTACGTTTTATCCAGGCCACCTACTTATAAAAGAATGTCAGTTTGAAGAAGAGCAGCAATGATTAAAGACAGTTCTGTTCATGTCAAGAGAAATGTATCACTTTGTCGAAAATCAGAAGTCGCTACTTGAGCCAAGCACATATGCATCCTACAAACTAGAAGATGAAAAAGCAGGTACCTGTAGCATGCCTTGAAGACCGACATTAGAGTGCAAGATAGTGAATAAATGATAGATGCTCTGAAATGCAAGAACCATATCACCCCTTTGTCCTGCCATGAATAGATCAATCAGTCAAGAGTAGGACACCTACGTCACACTCTTTTCTTTCACTTTCATCCTCTGAACTTGTCAGTTACTAAAACTAGGAACATGTTCCTCTCATTAACAAGTAAAGAACACAATGTTAAGCAAGCAGTTACATCCCTAATTACCTATGGGCTAAACCTCAACAGTTATTACAGCATTCATTCACCTGGTGACAGGGCCACTTTAATCCTTCATTTGTGGAAACACAAAGGCTGGCATTAGGAACAAGAGCTTCAATTAAGAGACTCATAGTGGCCGAGAATCCTGTTGTGAGGCTCTATATTGATGGTGGTCTCTGACACACTTGACTGACCATTGACTAATTGAGGGGTACCTCTTGACAGTCAAGTCATGTGTCACTCAATGTGCTTTCGACAGCTTCAAAAGGGCCTATTAGCACCTATACATAAGTCTTTACATGACCTGTAAACATTGTTGTACAACACATGTCCTGGCCAAGAAAAATTGTTTCAACACAAACCAAATGCCTCACTTCAACCTTACACAAAACACTTTACCTAACCCTAAGCTTTACCTAAATCAATAAACTAATCGTAATTGTTGATAATATTGTTACTATTTTCCCTGTCAGCTACAACTTGGATAGGGAGATATGAGTTTGTCTCGTACATATATATTCACTCATTCAGCTCTGTTTTCACCTGGCTAAGACGGACTTTGGTTTGAAAATTGACACACATTTTCTGGGATGATAACATTAAAGACGCACAGTAGTGGGCTCTCATGGAGAATTTGACATCATAAATTCTGGTGTTTAACTGATACCAGATGTTGTCAATCAACAGGATTAGCCTTCAGTTTTATGACCAACGTGTAATGCTCTGCATTTTCCACCAATCGCCCCATATGATAAGGTCATTATCATTTCCCTTACCTGAGGACTTGGGGGTATTTCTTGATGGGACGACGGGTTTGCTGTGTATGAGACTAACACCAAGTTTGGTTTCAGGGAATTATGACCTACTGCACATGGAAACTAACTACCAATTCCATTTAAAGGTCGGTCCCCAGACAGAAAAAAAAATACACAAAAACTGATACACGTCTGTACAAACCCAATTACTGTACACACAAAAACAATTAAAATCGGTAGTAAAACAGCAAGTTATGTGTTAGTCTTTTCTACTGACCTTTTCGTGGTGCCGTATTACTGCATCCAAGTCTTTTACTGATTGCCGAAGTTGAGCAATCATCTTCTCTTGGCCTTCTGACTCCTTCTTTCTAAAAGATTAATTTGAATATATTTTTGGAATTTAAGAGAAATGCTATCATAATGCCAAATTTATGAAAAAATAATCACTGAGATGCATATAAAAAATGAATCATTACACACATGTGTTTACGAGTGAACAATTCTTACTTTAACTATTCGCATGGAGACTTAGAGAGACCACTTTGTGGTGCAGAGCTAATAAATTTTGTGCTTACATACTTTTGAGGGCATTACAATTTTGGTAATGAAATGTTGAAATAGTATATAACTTTATAATACAAGTCCTAGATAAGATCTGCAATACATGACTTAATAGTATAAGATTTAGATGACTAACAAAACAGTCTCCATCCACCCCCCCCCCCCCACCCCAAAATGACAAAAGTTATGTTGATTTGGCTTGAAAAGTAATCTAAAAGTCTAACCCTCGATCTAACCTACCTGAGGTCTAGCACTGAATCTCTGCCTACGATGGTTTCGTTGAGCCTTGCCTGAAGGTCCTCGATAGCTGACCTGAACTGCGCCTTCTGCTGATCACCGTTGGTTTCTGCCTGTAAGGAGGACATGTACATGGGACTTACCAGTGGTAAATTTTCACTACCGTGTATAAAGCATCCTGGGGGGTGTTTCACAATGACTAAGATCGACTTTAAGTTGGACTTAACTATGGCAGGCCTTTCATGACACTAGTTCCTCTAACCATTCCTGGAATTGTTTTCTCAAGGGAGGTATAAATCGTGGTCACAAATCTCCAGAATTTACCTGATTTGATACTTCATTATTGAAGGGAAAAATATTATCTAAAGATCATAATTAAGAGACCAATGGTGAGAGCAACCAGTGGCATGAATGGCTTGCCATATTTAAGTCCAACTTAAAATCGATCTTTGTGAAACACCCCCTGGACTTTCTAATTACATTCAATGCACTATCATTTATTAATTGAAATTATTTGTACAGAGGCTCAAACACAAAAAAAGTTTACCATACCATGACCTGCACACCAATTAATTTATATGATTAAAGTTTTTATCAACAAAATGCAAACTCACTTGGTGATAATCATCAAATCAACTGATCACCATATACAGGTACATCTAACAAAACAGTAACAAAAATGATTGTATTCATAACTAATGCATGACTTACATTTCTAAGTCTCTCATTGAGGACCGTCATCTCAGCTCTGGCGTCAGAAAGTTGCTTTCTTAGAAGAACCCTATTGAGAAGAAGAACAAAAGGAACAGTTTATATCTATACAGTCTACAGCTATACAGGAAAAATATCTCAATCCCATTATATAAATACACACACACTGTAGACCTTTTGAAACTGGATTGGTTCTGAAGGAAGCTTACAAGAAGAGTGAAATTGAAGATGCTACAATTTATTGAAAGTACTGGGACCCGTTTCACAAAGAAATTTTTCAATGACAAAAAACAAAAATCAGTGACAAATCTGCTGATAACCAATCAGAAGCAAGGATTTCACTAGCTTATGACAAAAACTTTTGTTTGTCACTGATGACAAGTTTTGTGAAATGGGCCCAGTTAACCTGGCTATATAAATAAAATAAAACGAGCAAAAACAGTAGTACACTAATGTAATGCTCAACTTTCTTTGCTTGAAACAGAAAAAACTTGTGTGTACACTCATTAATATTTCAGTTGTGTAAAAATCAAGGGTATCTTCATTGACATGAACACTCTTTTTATACATTATTGATACAAGTATATCCGTATTGCTGTACATCTGTATTGCTGCACCCCAAAATCAGGTGTTTCCATGCAGAGATTAGTAAAAGTATAGAAACATTCAGATAAAGAAGAACAAATGCAATGTGCTTACTCAGTAGCAGACTCTGTATGCAGTGATACATTATCAATGGGAGATCTCCTACTCCCCCTTGCGAGAATGGACTCTACCGTCTCCCTCACTGTGGGTGTCATTGAGACGTAGGAGTCTGACAGGCTCCTTGGGACTGTTCCATGGTTCAGAGTAGGGGTGGCAGAAGATCTTTGGACTGAAGGGATGTATGTTTGTCTTGACGTTGCAGATTCAATTTGTTGTCTCAGTTTGGAATTCTCCGAGGCTTGACTATCCAACTGGTTTCTACATTAATATTTATACAAAAATCATATTTAAAAAAATAAAAATAAACCCAAAATAAGATTTTAAAATAATAGATTATATAAAACAAGAACTTTAAAACAAATATCGCCTACAGAAACTTGATGATTCCAGTATGAAGCTTAGGGGACTTTATTATTTTAAGCTCTACTAAGCCTCCATATATTATTGATTAAAGGACGAGCTACAGGGGATCATAACACTTGATTTTCAAGCTTTACACAGCATTACAAACAATCCAAGAATATCTATGTTACATACACTATATGTACATTTGAAATATCACACATTCAAGTGCATACAAGAACTAGCAATTCTAAGTTTTCCATTTAGCTAAACTTGGTTCAGTTAAATATAACCATGACAGGGACTGACTATATATAATACATTGGATATCTGGAAATGTTTTGCCAATATTACTTTATAAAAATACTTATGCAAGAGTTCCGCAGCATTATCCACACCAACACGGCCATTCAGCACTGAAATTGAACTCCTGCGCATACATGTACATAAAGTGCACACATTTTATGATGGATTTCAAAATATGTCACATTATTGTTATATCATATGAAACCTCAGAATTTAAACTCAGAGGGAGACAACTGGGAAAGTTTAGGTGTCTGTGTACAAGTCATGGATTTATATGATTTTATATTCAAAGCACTTTGATGTGAAACAATTTCACTGCTTTCTCACTCTCTTTTGACTTACCGTAGATCAGATATCATTCTATGTTCAATGGAGATCCCACCAATAGGTGAAAGGCTAGGAGAGGGTGACAGGTTACGAGAGGGGGACAAAGAATGCCCCCTGGATGCAGGTCTGCCATATGATGTGGTCTATAACAAGAAAAATGGTTATTTCATTACAAGTCTCTGAGAAATTTCACTTGCAAATAATGAAGGCTAAACAGAAGGGATATATCTTCTAAATTTTTTGCTGAACTGTGTTTGTAGTTGTCAATGGCTTTCAACATCTTTATTTTCCAATACGCCACCAGCAATATATCAAATATGAATTTGTTTTGCAAGGCGCAGCCACTAATAAATACAATTTTAGAACTTTGACAGTAATAAACATGTGCAGGTAACAAATGAGTTTTATATTCATTACAATCCATGTAACTTTGATTTTATTTTTTCTTAACTAAAAAATGTGGAATACTTTTCAATGTAACCTTTAATATGTAACTTTCTCAAGAAACATAAATCAGGACAAGCCATTTTTTCCCATACTTAGAAAAATTACAAAACTATGTAAGGGTATAAATGATTTAGTTGTTAACTGCATGTGTTTATTCATTATTTCAGATTCCATTTGACATTCAAATAAAGAAAGATCATAAGTATAACTACAGAACTACAAGTTATATTTATTTCATTGAAAATGCAAGTTCTCACCTTGTTCTATTGTCAATTATAAAGTTACCAATACTCCTTTTTCAGTCAAACAATATTAAGCACTCCAGCTCATTTAATATGTACATACTACATAAAATCATTTACCTCTGCGAAATCAGCCAGATTCATGTCTGTTTTTATTTCTTCCAGTTGATATGTTTTCTCGTCCAGCAGATCCTGTAATACATCAAGAATGTGTGCCTTGCATACATAACATTACAGAAACCAAAACAACATACGTGCAATAGGGTACCATAACAAAGCGGTTAAATAGGACAGTGTGTTATGAAGGAGGGAGAAGATTGTGAGCAGAAAGTTTCCATAAACAAGATGCGTGGTTTATAAAGATGAATCAGAAAAGTATATAAAGGTAGTCAGAAATAAAGAGATCAATCGTCGTAATTGAAACAGACATAGAACGAGATATGTGCAGCAGAGGTTGGAAACAAAGGGTTGGGGGTAAACAAAACACATCAACTGATAAGATTTCATGCAGTGCAGTTCTGGTTTCTACTATTTTTTTTTGTTGTTGCTTGTTACTGTGAGGTAAATTTTATCAAAGTCAGAAATTTATTTTGTTATGTATTCATATGCTGCATAGAGTATTGTTCTGCTGTGCCAGACTTCACCCTTTTTAATACAAATATAGCTTCTAGATTCTCCAGCCCAGGTTTATTTTGAAGTAAAAGTATCCATTTCAACCCTTGATCACAGGTCTAGATAGAAAATGTCTTCCAAATGCTCACAAAGGAGATATCACAGAATCAAAGAATACTGAACTTGTTCATTGAAACTCGTCTTTTACATGTACTATAAGATGCAAGGAGGATAGCTAAGTGCAACATCATTAGCATAGTTGTTTACCAAGTTCAATGTAACTCATGCTACACATATTTCAAGATGGCGTGCTTTGCATGCAATAACTACATTAAAAATATTACCCCAAGATTTGATATCATCCTTACCTGTCTCTTGGTTTGAACGTGTACCATCTGAAGGTTACTGCGTAGATTTGGCGAGGTGGTCAGGGAGCTGTGGGTAGGTGATGGAACAAAAGATGCCATCTGGTTGGTCAGGTCACACTACTCCATCATATCTGAAATCTTTTAGGAGAGGAAATATGTTTTGACTGTTAAGCTCATGTCACAACTTTTTTTTCTTCTCTTTCTTCCTCCTCTTCCTTGTTAGCTTCAATCCCCTTCATTATATTTTGAATATTTTAAAACTTTTTACATGAAAATGACAGAATTATCAGCTTGTTGACTGAAGCCCCCCATCCCTCACATGACTCAGGAAGAAGAAGACATCTCATCATTAGACCTAGACGGTCTATATCACATATTCACCAACACTAGGCCTACACAGCCAAAGTCATGATTGAGCATGCATAGATTGAGGGCTTCAGTCTCTGATAACAACGGTTGTTCCACTGAGATTACATCTGGCTCCAGCTCCACTGGCGCTGGCCGCCTCTATGTAGATCTATGCCATGATGGGGAAGGTTGTCAAATTATAGGGATTGATATCGTGATAACCGATACCGATACCGATATGATCGGGATGGGGATCGAGAGACGAGAAAATGGACGGTTGTCTGTAAGATTCTGATTGTTGTTTCTAAGGCCGTTGTCGCCTTATTAAAGGTGTTTTAACCCAATTCCTGTCTGATATCTAATCATTCCTGTCTGTACCTAGTGAATCCCCTTATAAAATGTCAGTTTTATTAAAGAATGACCATGGCAGACGGTTATTTGAAACGTCTAGATTGGGCACAGCTTGTCACACACAACCAGGCAGACAATGGCAACTCACAAATCACAACGATTGCAGTGGAGTGTACACATAGTCACTCATACTCAGCTCAGTTACTGCACTGCACAGCACGCCGTTATACGACCCACATACATCGACGCTACTACGGCTACGGTGCCCCGAAGCTCGGGCGCGCATTTCATGAGCGCTTCGTAATAAACAACCGTTCGCATGATGAGGTACAAATAGGCCTAGAATACTTTCAAGTTTGATTTTAAAACACTCGATTGATACTATTATCGTTATTATCGTTCTATTTGTTTCGTTTATAATTTAATACATTCATTTCCAGTACTCGGTCTTCGTCTTACCCAAATTTAGCTCCGGATGACACTTCCGGTTGTAAATACTCGGCAGGTGTTTTTCTTATTATTATGTTAATTTTGAATTATGTGCGCAAAGTTTGTTGCCAATTTCAGAGAAGAGATCATAGAATTATTTGAATTTGTATTCACACAAGTGTTTTTAATGAAAGAGAATATTCACAATAACAAAAATATATATAAAACAAATTATTCATTTTATAATGAGCAGAAAGAATGAGTTATAAAGTTATTCAATCCAGTTTAATTTAAGAACAAAATAAACACAAAAACAAAGAATTTTCCTTTGGAGCGAGGGGCGTGGTGGGGGCGTGGTCATTATTAGTGTGGTGTGATTTTTATTTGACTTTTTGTAATATCTATATATTCATCCCTCTCCTACTTACATATTAAATTGCAAATATAATTTTGCGGGTAAAATACAACATAAAAAAATAGAACAATAAAAGATTAGTGTCAATTTAAAGGATGTGCTGAATTAACACATGACGTTCATGTTTTGTTTTCTTTGTTTGTTATCTGTTTTTGTTTTGGTTTGTTTTGGTTTGGTTTGGTTTGTTTTATTCTACTTTGCTTTAAATGCTCTGCTTTGGTTTAGTATAGGTTTTGTTGTTGTTGTTTTTTCGGGGGTTGTATTTGTGCGTGTTTATGTGTGTGTTTTCCCTTCTATGATTTTCCTTTGATTTCCTGCTTATATGTTTTGTTTTGTTTTCTTCTTTTTGGGGTTTTGTTTGTTTGGGATTTTTCATTTTTTGGCTGTTGTTCTAGCCCCTTTTTTTATTTAGACCTATAAATATTCAAAAAATAGGTGGATATATGGATTCTGGCAGTTTTTGGTTGTGATGGACCGATATATCCCTGGGGGGGATACTCAGATTTGGTTTGGACAGGGGTGTGCCACTCAAAACTTCAAACCCCTACCCATAAATAGGGATCATTTTGGGGCATGTTTCTCGAAAAAAGACCCATTTTTCACAATTGTTGATGTTTTTCGGGTATTAGCATGTTCTTAATGGTACATGTATTTTTGTTAAAGACCATCAATACTACTGGGCCAGAAGGGATTAGACTACACAGCGAGGTCACTGACAGGTGGCTCAGCTCTCAACTAACATAAGAAAAAGAGGATCATCATGGGGACCAACAGGCACCGATTGGGGAAGTTTTCTATATAGAGGGAGCAAGTAGCTACAAGTAGGACAGTGGGGCTTTAAAAGTAGGACCATGTTAAGGGATTTTTTGCGAAAAAGGGATCCATTAAAGGGGCACACCGCCGTATATGCATTACATAATTCAAGTAAGCTGACCTTAATTTAATGTAGTATAGATCTGCCATTCGACACATATCCAGTAGTACGTAATAATGAAAAAACACTTATGTTATTGTGAATTGGAAAACATGTGTTTACCTTCTTCTTGATTGTTTATTTTTCAAGTTTGTACAGAATACTGATTTCACTTGAATATTCAAAACAAAACCAATAAAATAGGCCTATCGAGGACAGCAGAGATCTGTTGTATGCAAAGACTTTAAGCATAAACAGGTCCTGCCCCTGAATGTAATTTGAATATTTATATTATATCAAGTAACAGGTATGAGCCCTAGCCCTCCGGACAATAAATCCTGTAAATTCGGCTACTAGTACTTATATATTTTCGAAAGGGAGGTGTTTTAGGAATTTCCTCTTTTTCTTTTTCTCTGCGAGCCACCATAAGTTCGAGGCACCAAACATCTTCTGACAGCTCAAAAATAAACGTAAAATTACGTGTTAAAAGGGAGACGAACTTACGGCTGAACATGTACATTGGCAAGACACACTTTAGAAACATATAGACTACTGTAAATCGGGTAAGTTTGATATTCCAGCCTATTTAAAGAGAATGTTATTGCATTTTATTTGCCATGCAGACGGCGCAATTTTCATCAGACATCACGCATCATCGGCCCGGAAGCTACGGCCTCGCCCTTATCGCAATATCGGTGCCAATCAAATTGGCACCCATACCCCTGAGCTCAGCTGAGCTGAGCTGCGTGAGGAGTGATGTAAACAAAACCTAAATTGCGTTCCTAATCCCCAAACAGCCTTGGAAACTAGGCTTCAGACTCAGAGTTCGCAGAGGACTCTTCTTTGAATCTTTCTAGACATCTAGATCTAGACCCTATGGCTAGAATCTATGCATACAAATTAGATCTAGATCTAGGGTCTACAATAGACTTCTAGAAAATCTAGATCTAGACTCTACAAAGCATTTTGAAATCGGTCAATAAATCAAGCAAAAATGTCAGTGAAATTTGATTCTTGAGTGATAGCGCTTTGCCTTTGCTTGCCTTCAAAGGGTTCCTGATTAGAATGAGCTAACCTGCGATTTACATTACGAAAATGCTGACCTCTCACGAGACTGAATTGAAGAGAGTTCACGATGTACAGTTGGATCTGCCGGAAACGCAAATACACACGATGTACACAAAAAAGCTGTTGCCACTTTGCAAAAATGATAAGGTTGGCTGTGCCCCTTGTAAATGGCATACCATTTCTTAATATTTCACGTTCATTTTTCTGATGCATTTGTAAACGTCACTCTCCATGTGTTTTTTGTCCTTTACAGCCACTCTCCATTGGCCAAACCCAGTTCACACTTGGTTGGCCAAACTCAGCTGAATGGGTCAGACGGGAAGCCGTGCCAAGTCTCTTGCCAAGACGAAGAAACCAAAGGAAGACAAGAAAGCAGATGAAAATGATTCCTCAAGTTCTGCGAGACGTGTTGTGAAACTTATTGAGAGTGTAGAAGAAGAAGAAGGCCTTGGAGCCAAGGTGCAGAGGACCATTGGATGTGAAGAGGTATATTTGATAAGTGTGTACTTTTGGATTAAATATTTAATCTGCAATACCGTATTTGCCGGCGATAAGGCCGCAGCACCATATAGGCCACACCCCCGATTTTGACATTTAAAAAAAAAAAAAAAAAAAAACTTTTGTCGAAGACGGGATTTGATCTCTTGCGTTCAAATGTTGATGTGACTAAAATCACCGCCTTAGACCACTCGGCCATCTCGCACTGATACTAGCCCATGCAGTTTTCTGTGATCTATACATTGTGCCTCTCTCTTGTGTATTGAAATGGATTCAAAATAGCGACTTCGCGTGCTGGATGCTTCGCGGCAGCTCCGTTAAACGGGCCCTTCTTTTACTTTTGCAATGTATTGGCACAAAGTTAGATCAAGATCTATCGGCACATGTTGTTTTTGGAGGTTTATTTTCATCTTCATGTCAACAATGCAAGATAAAATTGTTGGTAAGATGTGTGGAAATGTCCTGTACCATAGTGGTATAGTTATTGTACTGTTAGTAGTCCCATTCGTGCAAATTCGTGCTGGTTTTGACTTACTTTTTTTTTTTTCTTTTACTCTTTCGCCGCATAGGCCGCACCCCAACTTTTTGATATTTTCTCTTCCAAAAATACTGCGGCCTTTACGCCGGCAAATACGGTAATCACAGAATATTGAAAAATATCACATTATTTCATCAAGGATTTGGGGCAAGCTAGATGTAATACCATGAAATTTAATATTATGTAGAAGCTTAGCATCCTACAATTTACGTGCCTCTTTAAGTTTAGCAAGCAAATTAATAAAGAACTTGATGTTTCTGTAGCTGAATTCTGCACACACACAACAACAAATTTAGCAAAATATAAACAATGACTCTATTTTAAAATCTATAAATGTTCGATTAGTAAATATCCTTTTGGTTTGTTTGAAGGAATTCAGGACAAAGTGGGGTTTTAGGGGTGTTTTTTTTTTAAGCCGTAAAATAGTAAAAGAACACTTAAAGGCTACAGCTCATAGGTCTGTTGTTGCCTAATTCAATGGTCTGCTATGTTTTGTTTTATTATTGTTGTTGCTGTTGTCATTGTTATCATTCTTCTTCTTCTTCTTCTTCTTCTTCTTCTTCCACAACATCACCATCCATAGTTTGATTACTTGGACCCATTCCTGCGTCTGGATGAGTTTGATGTCTTGAAACCAGCTGGCTTCCCAGACCACCCGCATAGAGGATATGAGACGGTAAGAATAATTTTAGAGGAATTTACGCTGCGTGCAAATCGTCTGGCTTTTTGTCACACTTTGATGTTTCATCAGAAGTTTTTAGGCAACTACCCATTATAAAGAGTAAATACCTGAATCAAAATCGCCTTGAGTTAAGATGAAATTAAATGCTAACCCAAACACTGCCAGTTTTTGCATTTTAATGCACACTCTCTTAACAATGGTGAAATCCTCTGGTTTTTGCTTACATGGCTATTGCAAGCACAGCAGCGATAAGATTTATATATGCACTACTCACCCAAATAAGAAAACACATACAGAATATTTTTTGGGGGTGAGGGGGGGGGGGGGGGGGGTTCCAGAAGTGTAAACGAATGTTTTTTAAATTTAATGTTTTTTCAAATGGGTCTCTTCTGCTGTGTAGATAGGCCTCAAGATACCGAGGAAATACACAAAGAAGGATGAAAGAGAGGGAGTAGAAGAGAAGAGGAGGAAGAGTAGAAAGGAGGATGAGAAGAGGAAAGTAAGAGGAAGGAAGGGGAAGGACAAGGAAGACACTTTCTGGAAATGGTACACATAATTGTGATAATTATGAATTCAGAACAGTATGCATACTAGTTTTAATATCCTTCTTTCTGTTTTCATCATATTTCAGGTGACATATATCCTAAAGGGCTGTCTAGATTATGAGGACTTTCAGGGTAACAAGGGATCTTTACAAGATGGTGATTTGCAGGTAATGTACGTTTTATATTAACAAATTATAGAATAATTTTTTGTTTATCAAACTGAAGCTTACAATGAATCATGAATGCTAAGACCAACCAGGGCAATAGTAGCTGTATAAGGCTCTTCAAAATACTTGACTGTATTTGCCTTTTAAAATGAAAATCTATGGTGACTTTATCAAGAGGCGATGGCTGTGATAGGCTTGACAACCCTAACCCTAACCCTACACAGAACCTGTGAATTAGCATGTCAAAATGTCAAAACTCCTTGCGAGATCACTCCTTCTAAAACTTATGTCAGAAATATTTCAGAATTGAGCGCCCCCCCCCCCCCCCATTTTATCTTTCAAAACAGAATGTTGAATTTGAAAGTAAAGTCCTTGGGCTTAGGGCATGTAATCTATCATGTTACAAAGGACGATTTGTGTGCTTAACATTCTATAATTTTGTTTATGGGTTTGCTCTGTTCACACCTTGGCATTAAGCAGGTAGTTGGCTTTAGTCATATACATAGCTGCCAACCATTCCTATTTTTGGTCTTCGAGCTACTGTTTTGAACCTTTAAAATCCTTTCTTTTTCTGAAGTATTCTGTGTGAAAAGTATACAAAATAGAGTGTATTCCTAATTTTGCCTTGAGAGTTTCCTAAGTTTGTCTGTGAAAATTTGGCAGGTGTGCGTATATCAAAATTGTGCTTCATTAATGTAAAGAAATAAAATATATAGAAAATCATATGCATCATGGTCGTGTCATACCAAAAGACATTAAAAGATGGGAGTTGTTGCTACCTTGTTTGGCGTTCAACAATAAGGGATAGAGCAACGTCGATCTGGCACTGCTCAGTGGCTGCCGGGCTCACGATCAATTGGGCAAAAAGAATTTCTGTTTCGGTTTAATAAAATTTGGAGTGGACTATTAGGCTATTATTATTATTATTATTATTATTATCATTATTTTTGGTTCATATCTGTGGTGTTGCAGTGGTTGACTGCAGGCAGGGGTTTTGTCCATACTGAAATGCCATCGGGTGAGGAGAGTTGCTACGGCCTTCAGCTCTGGATAAATCTTACCTCAGGAGATAAGATGGTAGAGCCCAGTTACCAGGACATAAAGAAAGAGGACATTCCATTTGAAAGTGAAGGGGGTGCCAGGGTCAGAGTGATTGCAGGGGAAGCCTTGGGTAAAAAGGTAAGGAAAATTATCTTATCTTTTTGTTGTAGAAATCTGTACTTGTATTTAGAAGGACAATGCAGAACAGGTTAACAGGAGACACATTAAATTGGGTGTAGCATGGCAAATACTGGTTAACGCCATCTACGACTTCTTTTGGACAACTGCACGTAAACGAATGGACTTGATTAACGGTCAGCGTGGGCTAGCCTTCGCGAAACAGACCAAAGTTCTCCTCACGAATCGGTTTTGCGTATGTTGCACGCACATGAATTCTGCGGTCACGTCTTCCGTAGTTGTATTATACCCGATTGGCACTGAGTCAGGCCATGGAAAGACACGTAGTCTCGTCATGCTACACCTCCTTTAAGGTGCCATAATAATCAACTCACTTGTTGATTAACAATTGGGCATCAACAGAAAGACAAGACAAAAACAAAAAGTTAAAGTTCATTGTAAGGGAAAAGGGAAAAGCTGCATGCAACAAAGGTCACTATAAGTAATAGGCCCATTTACACATCCCAAACTACATTTCGAAAAATCATAGAGTGTTTGGACTACCATTTACACTGCTGAAAAAAACCCATTATAACCGTCAATATTTGTTCGTACGGTGGGTATTGTGCATACGCAACTTGTCGCTACTCTGCACGAGATCGCACAGAGCCGAAGAGAGTCACATGATGAAAAACCTGCATCGTACCGAAGTGTTGATTTACACTGTAAAAATCGGTGACATTTTTGCTGAATTTATTTTAAAAAACACACTCCAAGAGGTGGATTTTTTGTTGTGTTTGTTGGTAGTGAAAGTGGTATATCTTTTCGCTGCAAAATTTTGTGCATAATGTACAGTGTACCTTGAGCATTTTTGTAAAGAATATAAATTCTTCATTAAATTGTGTGTTTTCATTTGATGCTTAAGTAGATGCAAATTCATTGCATATAGTTTCATTTCTGTTGTAGAAGTCTGAGATTTTCCAAGTGAACTTTTGTCCTTACTAATATGTATTTAAAAGAGGAGTGCTGAAAGGGATTTCATGTTTTCTTTGGAATTTTTGTAATTTATTGTTACAGATATCAGTATCTCATGTATTCTGTTGTTCTTCATCTTAATCTGTGAATTGTTTTCTGAGTTTTACGGTTTATTAGCATTTTATCAGAATGAATACAGAGAATTTTTTTAATGATTTACGGAGAAAACTCTAGCTTGTTATTGAAATTTAGGATCACAATAATTTCTTACTATGAATCAACTGAAAGCTCAATAAAGGTCAGGGATTTAAGTCCAGCAGGAAAAATTGTTGTTATCCTTTTAAATACAATGTTCATTGTTCATGTTCCCATTATTTATCATTTAGTGTACATATGATTATAAATCTTGAACCTTATCTGTGATAGTAATAGTTTCATCAGTGAAACGTTGTTCACTGTGTAATAATTTAATGTAATAATTCAATGTGTAATAATTCACTGTGGTTAACTGTGTAATAATTCAATGTGTCATATTCTTTATTTTTCTTATACAACCAGATTTCTTTGATTTATTTTAAATAATAATAATAATATTTAATTTTTATAATATTTAATTTTTATATAGCGCTTAATACAAATGTCTCTAAGCGCTTTACAAATATATACTATTACCCGGTCATTGGATTCAGTGCTTGCCCGCACACACTGTGTGCACAATCTCCACTCCCTGGGGAGCATTCCAGCCGGGCGTTACTTGACGCTCACAAGCTGTTTGACCAACAATGACGGTCGCATCCTACCGGGTACCCATTTAACACCTGGGTGGAGAGTAGCAAGTGCAGGTTAATATCTTGCCAAAGGATATTAGTGCCGTGTCGGGATTCGAACCCTCGACCTTCGCATCTCCAGTCAAGTGCCTTAAACCACTCGATCTGCCTTGGGCCCTATTTCACAATACTTGTCATCAGTGACAAATTACAGTTTTTGTTATAAGCTTGAGAAATCCTTACTTCTGATTGGTTATCAGCAGATTTATCACTGAATTTTGTCATTTGTCATTGAAAAAAGGCTTTGTGACAGTTTTTGTATGGATGCTAGTGAAATCTTTGCTTTTGATTGGTTGTCAGCAGATTTGTCACTGATTTTTGCCATTTGTCATTGAAAAAAGGCTTTGTGAAACGGGTCCCTGGTCTACATTATCACACATTCTATATTGCATAGCGCCATCTACTGACCTAAATTTTATCTTTGATTGAGAAAAGGGCAAGTGATTGAGCAGGGAGCCCTCACTGTCTCTCTCCCTCATTCTCTCCCTCCCTCTTTATCTCTCTCTCCCTCTCCCTCCCTCTCCCTCCCTCTCCCTCCCTCTTTATCTCTCTCTCCCTCTCCCCTTTTTTTTTTCTCTCTCTCTCTCTCCCTCTCCATCCTTCCCTCCTCATCTCTCCCTCATCTTCTCTGTATTCCTCTGGGCTTGCTTCTTCCCTTGTTTCCAGCCTTTCCTGCTAATTTCACCTATATATATGTAATCTGTCACTTTTCATCTTGTCTATATCCTGTCCCTTATATTCTATTTTCCTTCAATTCAATTCAATTCAAATAAACATATATTTTCTTCCAAACAATACAATTTATAAGTAGGAACATTGAAGTCTCATTGTCTTTATTTCTCTGACCCGCTTTAATATTGAAAAAATTTGATAGCCTGGCCCTGTAACATAAGAATCAACTTACAGGTGTACAGTCAATTGTAAGATTATATAGGATCCCCAATTTTACATTATAAATTATAATAAATAAATAAGTTGTAAAATCTCACCATGCATTATATGAACCCTCTGTAACATATAAATGATTAGTTAGGTTAATATTCATAGTAAAGTGAAAATTGATTGAAGGAAATAAAAATAATGTGGGGGAATCATCACTCTGTCATTTTTATATTCATTTTTTATCAATTGGTGATTTAAAAAAAATGTTGTTTTTATAACAGCTGTATATTAAGTTACCATGGGGATTTACAAATTGACGTTGTTTGAAGTCAGTTGACACATGTTTTTTTCCTCATATATCTTCATATTACATTCAAATGAAAGAATTGTAGAGTTCTAAGAGGCCTTGAATTACTTATTGGACATATTCAGGTCTTCCCCAATTTCTTGTTGTGAATCATACAAGTTCAGCATACACATTTTAGAGATGAAGTTATTCTAGAGGTAGAGGTGTCATGATCGATTGGATATGTCACCGGACTGTGGATCACAAGGTCCGCGGTTCAAGTCCTGCGGTTCAAGTCCCGCCACGGCACTAATGTCCTTTGGCAAGACATTGATCTACATTTGCCACTCTCCACCCAGGTGTTAAAATGCGTACTCGGTAGGATGCGAAAGTTAATGTGGTTGGATTAGCAAGTGGTGCTTGTAAAATGGCGACTAGCTGGAATGCTCCGCAGGGAGTGGAAAATGTGCATACATTGTGTTGCGGGTAAGCCTGAATCCGATGACTGGGGTAATAATATGTTCCGCGCCTAGAAACAAAGTATTAGGCGCATTATAAATGTGAGCTATTATTATTATTATTATTCTGTAAAGCTTAAAGGTCTTAAATTTGGAGGGAAAAATGAAAATTATCCACCTCTGCTTAATGCTGTCAATTTATGAATTTAAGCTCTGAATCTTGAATCCATTTATATATATAAAGTAGACCTCTGGAATACCTTAACAACCATCATCAGGTACACCTGAGCATCATTCCCAAGAGCCTCTTCCTTTTAACAAAGAGGACAGTTCCTCTTTCTAATCCCTCCTCCTAACATGTCTCGCAATCCAAGCCTATAATTGAGTCAGTACCACCCAAGGATTGGATACCTTGAAATCAACTCCACCACCGCCAAATAATAAAAGAGATATTGAGAGAAATAAATTTCATCTTGGGTAATCCACCAATTTAGCATCGCCCTCTCGGGACTTCTTAATTCCATGTCGCCAGCCCTCCAGGATCTATAGGGTACTTGTGTCAAAATATTGATGTCGGACGGACGGACGGGAGGGTTAGAGAACGATTGGGAGCTCAACAAGTAACACCTGGTCAGTCGCATCAGTTCAGTCTGTCAAAAGAGGGCGGTGTTGGGTGGATGGTGACCGCCTGTGACCCTTTTGTAGATCAGAAACTTATGCAGCACTGCCAGCTCTGTCTCTTGTCAACCTTGTAATCTCATTTCTATTTCCTTGACAATATGCATTACCTGTTTGTGGTTTATGTTCCTGTCATTTGATAGTTTAATGTAAAATAAAATGAAATTGTTATTCACATGCAAAATTGTGCTGGAAGATTCATCTTCTCAATTCTGGTAATTGTTGGCAATGTATGGTAAACACTTCAGTAACAATCAGTTTTACATTCTACATTGAGATTGGAATGGTAAACTTATAATTTTGCAAGACCATTAACACAGCTAATTTGCCAATTACAAATTTTATTAAAGTTTACAGTAAATTTGCAATTAAATTTTGATTACATAAAACATACTTTTGAATGAATATTTTGCTTTTTTCTGTTTTTATATTTTTTTGTTTCTTTTCTATTTTGAAACCTCAAGCATTAATTAAGAATTTCTTTCTGCCCTCAGTTAGTAGAGAATTAAACAGGTAACACATCAATATCATAAACAGGAATTGTAGTTCATTAATGTTGTTGAATATTATTCTAGAAGAAAAAAGTTGTGAATAGAAAAAAGGAAGTACCTCAAACAGGCTGAACATCTAAAAGAATCAAATACCCTTTCATTAATAGTCTTTAGAGATAACTCAATGCCCAGGGTATCAGATATCTTTTTTGTAACAGGATTTACGGTTAATTTGAATGGCCAGAACTCTCGGTTTATAGAGACCTTTTCTGGAATCGATCAAACTAAGCAATGGCACACACACACAGAACGGAAACAGGTTTAATAAGCTTTCTCACTTTCTGGGATAACAAATTAAAATAACTACAACCATCGTACACTCTGCTAATTTGTAGCATATGATGGCTTGCGGGTATAATTTGAAACAATGAATTACGGTAATCATCAATAGAGCGCCGAATCCATCTTTTATTTGTTTTAGTAGCGCCCTCGTCACCTCGTGGATGTGTTGATTACCGCAGAAAGTTGTTTTTAACATCTTGCATTTATTTTCCTCCCGAGGTCGTGGTGTAATCTAATAAATCATTTCCATATTTTCTATTAAATAAGAAGCTACCTGGAAAAGAAATGTGACTGATGTTCGAATCAAAGACTGAAATTTGAAGCTTGCAAGATTTTGAATATTTCGGTTATGTATGTGTTTGTTTCAGAAAGGGCATGTTTCTATTTAGTCAAATCGATAGTGATGCCAAGTTAATGTGAATGCTTTGCTTCAAAGGACATAATTCCCCCTCTCCATGACACAAACTGGAAGTGCCAGTGGGAAAGGTCGTGACACGGGGGTGAAGGGTCGGAGGGGTGGGGAGTGCGGTCAGGTTTCAAACACCCTTTCCGAAGCCAGTGCTGTCGGCCTGTACTTGTGTGTTCTAAGCCCATCCTGAGGACATGTCATGACAAAAACTCCAGGAAATCACTTATTTCCAGTGGATTATGAGTTGTTTGATAATGCTGACTTCTTTTTCATCATTTTGATTTAATATCAGTTTTGAAAGGGGACATTCCGAACTATTCACATAAAAAATGGTTATACAACTGTAGTCCCTTTCTCTGATTAACAAAAATATTGGCAATTTTGTCATTAAGTACAGTATCTTTATCACTATGTTGTTGAATAAACAGCTGAGGTAAAGATATTTCATTCAAGATATCAGTCAGTATGATTAACTGAAGAAGCTACATATGTAACCATGTGCAATTGTCTTAGCATTTGTCTTCTGCTTCTGTACTGCAACTCCTTTGAAAATGTTATTCATAAATAACACATTTTCAAAAGAAACTACTGAATGGTTTGATCCGACATATAAATTCTTGAGCTTCTTGTACAGTAATTGACAGTTGGGAAACCAGAAGGATGTCCCTAAACATTGGTGTAATGCCCTTCTGGCACTGAACAGCCGAAATGATTGATGGATTTCTAAATTAAGAAGTAGACAATCTGGATGGTAATATGTGAATTGAAATCCATATCACATCAGGGGGTGTTTCACAAAGACTAAGATCGACTTTAAGTTGGACTTAACTATGGCAGGCAGTTCATGCCACTGTTTGCTCTAACCGGGTACTGGCATTGGTCCCTCAAGGGAAAAACAAATCATGGTCACAAATCTACAGAATTTATATTTTTTGATAATTCATTATTGAAGGAAAAAATATTATCTAAAGATCATAATTGAGAGACCAATGAGTGGCATGAATGGCCTGCCATAGTCAAGTCCAACTTAAAGTCGATCTTAGTCTTTGTGAAACACCCCCCAGGTCATGAAGTGACATGTGATCCTATATAAAGCTTTAAACTGTTGATGTGTTTGTTTGATAAACTAGACGAAACAGTTGAAACGGTTAACAAAACGAGTAATGAAAATAAAAGAAAGCCGTTCTTTTGTAGAATTTGCCAGAGTAATCCCTTTCTCCTATGTTTCATCATATTCATCGGATCATCCCATTCCTTCTCTCTGTTTGAAGTACTGACTCCAAAGAACATGCAGATGAATAGTAATAGCTGCTATTAAATACCAATATTGCTACAAGCATTATTACAGTGAGTAGATTAAGACCTTGATAATGACACAGGTTCAAATATAGAATTAATTCAACTAATCCTGCCCCGAGGACTGGTGGGATTTGATTGTGTTCAGTCATACAAAATAAACATAAAAATTGTAGAAACCTGTTACGAAAGTAGAATTCTTGATAATCTGATTTTGAAGAAAAAAGTGGCAGCATAATGATTCAATTGTGCAGTTCATGAAATGTGTATCAAAAAGTTGCCTTATTATATGCAAACTTATATTCGTCTGCAAGAACATACTTTGATTTGACACTTTTAATAGATATATATGCTTTAAAGTGCATAGAGATTAGAGAATGAAGTCTACATAGGCTCAGTAGGGGGGCAGCTACAGTACAGGGTTGTCTTTGTTTTCCCTCCATGTGAGTGTTTTAATCCAACCAGTACTTAGCTTTCTTTTTAAAGTTAATCAAGTTCTTCCTTGTTTCATTGTTCATTTCTTTCAATAAGTTTCACTCTACATGATCACTAGAAGACACTACCTATTAAACCTTTCCATATAGAAATTTATGTTTTCCAGGTTTACTGGTGGCTCAAGTAAGAGAGTGTGACAAAAATATTCTCTTATGTCATCTATCGTTTGCCTCTTTTTGTTTCCTTTAGTTTTAGTTCATAGAGTTGTCTGTGGCCTTTACCATATATACATGTCATATAATTATTGATATCACTATCATCTGTATCATCTTTCATTTACCATCTCGTCTCCTTTCTCTTTTAATGATGCAGTCCAGTGTCACCACCCGTACTCCAACGCTCTTCCTGGATGTTGAGTTGGAAGAGAAGGCATCCATTAGTCAGGTGATACCCCAAGGCTGGAATGCATTCATCTATATACTCTCAGGGAAAGCTAACGTTGGTCAGTATTTGGGCTTCTAATCCCTGTAAAATTCATGACTATTAACTGTTATAGAGTGCTAATCATCCACAAATGTGTGTGACTTTCTTTCTTCTTAGGTGCAGGGTTTTTATTTAGTTTAATCACCTGTTGGTTTTGGGGCGCGTTCATGCTTGATTTTGACGGCCAGAATCAGGCATCTGTTACGCGTTTAGTTTAAAACACAATTGCGTTCATGCTCACTTTTGTAGAATCACCGAAAAACGGCGATCACGATCGCCGATCGTAAACACACAAAAAGATGCGTTTACAATTTGTAAACGCGTTTAAATGGGGTCAACGCACAGACCTCTAGTGGGTCTACGTAGCATGCGCACACAGGTTTGCGAATCCAGCTGAAGGCCACCCAAGGAGAATTGCCTGGAGAAGTGAGCATGAACAGTGCACCGTGGAACTGCGATTACGATGAGCGTTTACGATGAGCGTTACAAATCGCTCATTCTGCCTTCAAAATCAAGCATGAACGCGCCCTTAGTTGTACTTATAACATTTCGCGTCAGGTTCAGACCCATCCCCTTATATCCTCTTAAAGACCATTTTATGATCACATCATCTATTAAAGGGGGTGTAGCATGGCAAATACTGGTTAACGCCATCTACGACTTCTTTTGGACCACTGCACGTAAACGAATGGACTTGATTAATGGTCAGCGCCCACTAGTGTTCGCGAAACAGACCAAAGTTCTCCTCACACTTTGGTTATGCGTATGTTGCACGGATTAACCAAAAACCAAAACCAAATCCAAATCTTCATCCCCATCAATCCAAAAATAGAAATGATTGCTTGTCAGTCATTAGCCTGATTAAAACGAATTATTACCAGAACAGTACCATCACTTCTGTGAAAAACTGGGCAGTGCAGCAGACTGCAGACCCACTTAGGCCCGTCATCTTTAAAATGATCACATCGGTGCATCACATCATGGTTTAATGATCATTTTTCATCTTCCCAAAATATCAAATCATCTTTCATCCTCATCAACAATCCTAAAATAGACGTCTTTGCTTGGCTGTAGACCTGATCAGAACCACGTAAAGCTAGAACAGTGATATCCTTCTTTGAAAAAACGAGGCTATAGAGCTCAACGTCAAACCCACACTCAAACATCATCGTAAAGATGATCACATAAACATATCACAACATCCTTTCATGATCACTTCAACTTCTATGATTATGAAATAGACATTTTTGCTTGGCTGTAAACCTGATCAGGACCAGGTATAACTAGAACAGTGATATCCTCCTTTGAGAAAAACTAGGCAATACAGCAAAACTTCAAACCCACACTCAAACATCTTCATAAAGACATGGACACATCACAACATCCTTTCATCATCACGTCAACTTCTATGATTATTAAACCATCTGTCATCCTTATCAATCCCAAAGTAGAAGTGATTGCTTGTCTTCAATCTGATCAAAACCATTTATTACCAGAACAGCAGTTGACTTCCTTGAAAAACTAGCCAATGCAGCTGTACTCTACATCTGCACTCCTAGAGAGCAACACGTTCGTACACCACAGCAAATTAGGATTGTATCATCTTACAAAAATATCTAACCATCTTTGACCCTCATCATTCCTAAAATCCTCCTGAAAGTGAGTGTTTGATATAAGGCAATCAAAACCAGTTATTACTGGAACAGTTGCTTGCTTCTCTGAAAAACTAGGCAATACAGCAGAACTCTAGACCCATCATTATGAAGAGCATCACGTCAAAAACATCATGTAAGCACTTCACAACACCTTTTGAGGATCGCATCATCTTCCAAAAATACCACACCATCTTTGTTCCGCATCAGTTCTGAAGAGAAGTGAATCTTTGGTACTAACCCAATCAAAACCAGTTACAGTAGCTTGCTACTCTGAAAAACAAAGCCATAATAACAAAACCCAAGACCCACACCCATACCTCAATTTAAGGGGTATCAACATAATTTTATAACAGCATATCCTCCAAAAAGATATCAAACCATCTCTCATGCTCATCAACAATCCTGAAATAGAAATGTTTGCTTGGCTTTAAACCTGATCAGGACCAGTTATGTCTAAAACCAGAGGTTTACTTCTTTGCAAAAAAAAAGGGAATTACAGCAGAATTTCTTACCCACTCTCGTGCATGTATAAAATCTTAAAGTGACTCGGTAACATTGTTGAAGGTTGATGAAAAAAAATGCTTAATTTTTGTATAAAATGTTACTTACTATATTCCTTCTACTATACTAACCCTCTGACATGCAAAAAATCCTGAACAAATTCTCAAACCACAAAGATATCTATGGTTTTCTTTGAAGGCGTCGATGTGAGGCACCCTCTAACAGTGATTAACAGTAAATTCTCCCAACCATTTTTGAATTTTCCCAACCGTTTTTCCATGAGAAAAATACATAAAACAGGCTATAAAAATCTGTCAACACTCAACTGTCTGGAATGGAATGTAGAGCCATTTTATTGCTTTGTGACGATTTACATTCACCTAAAATGTAATTAAATTGTCCTTGTCTTGATGCTGAACAGGCTTTGACAAGTAGCAGAATAGAAGTAGAATAATATAGTTGGGAGAATTAAGAAATCGATCAGATCAGTTTTTACCAATTTGTACCATGAATAATGATCCGTTTTCACTCAAATTTTCAGATTATCTTTAATTGTACATCTAGCATTGAAGTCACTACCTTAGCACCACTATCTCTCATCTGAACAATGTTACAAAGTCCCTTTAAACAGAAATCTTACGTCATTGGGGCTTCACAACATCCTTTCATCATCACTTCAACTTCTAAGATTATTAAACCATCCTTTGATCCACGTCAATCCTCAAAAGGCCTGTCCTCATCAGACCGAAGTTGCAAAATAACCTGCTATTTTTATACTCAGGACATTATCCCGAAGCTTCAAATTGCATCTTCATCAGACCGATACGCTCATCACAAAGTAGATGAAAATGGGCGCGATTAGCCCACTATTTCCCAAATAGCGGGTTATTTTAGAAACAAGACCAACATTTCTCAGGATATTTTTCTTTACCAAATAGCCCGCTACTTGCAACTGCAGGCTGATGAAGACGCAAATTAGCTGGATAATTTAAGATTGGGCTAGTTAAAATAGCAGGTTATTTTACAACTTTTGTCTGATGAAAACAGGCCTAAATAGAAGTGACTGCTCGGTGTGATTCCGATCAAACCCAGTCCATATCAGAACAGTACGTCATCATTCTTGCACGTCATCTTAAAACTTTCCACAGTGTCACATCACTTCACTTAACAATCATTTTTTCTTCTTCCATAAATATCAAGCCGTCTTTCATCCTCATCAGTCTTTAAATAGAAGTGATTGACGTTAGATGATACCTTACAAAGACGAACACAACGTAACGGTATTCCAGGAAACGAGCATCATTGCACTTCATCAGCTATTTTCATCTTATAAATTAATCAGTTCATTTTGGGCCTGTACTGGTAAAACGAGATGTGGGCCATATTTATCCCTAATATCAATTCCATGTGGGGGATGTTTGCTTCACAATTAGTGGCCCTGTTCAGACTAGAGAAAATGTATATGAAACTTATATGGGGAACTTTGTTGAATATTGTATTGTGAAAGGGGTGTGCACACAGGATAATAACAGCATTTAAAGAAATGTATAAAGAATCATACAGCCAAAGGGGCGCACACACTTGTTAATAACATCGTATAAAGAAACATAGAAAGAATCATATATCCAAAGGAGTGTACACACTGGTTAATAACATTGTATAAAGAAACGTTCTATAAAGAATCATCATATAGCGAAAGGGGCGTACACACTGGATAATAACATCGTATAAAGAAACGTTGCATAAGTTAAGAAATTTGAAAAGATCAGTTGACATTACAGCTGGCCAATCATCGGTGCGCATATCAACGACAAGCTCTGCCCAGTAATATGGTTTTCGTACGATACAACTTTCAGTGAGAACAGAACCCTGATTATGATTTATCTAATATTTTGTGTGTGTGAGATGATGCTCAAAAATGCTTTTTGCTTTATAACATTCTTCATACAAAGTTTTTTATACAACATTCAGACGAGAAAATAAAACCTGATAATTACTTCTCGTGTAGCTACAGTATATGGTTTTCATTTAGCTATGCGATGAATTTCGCTCGACTGAACAGGGGGTAGGTGACGCTGATCTCTCAAGAATCATTAGACATGGTTTATGATTTCATAATTTGACGGATAATGTTGGGTGTTTTTGTTGACAGGCTAGGGTAAAACGAGCTGTTGATTTACGAAGTCTACCCAATGAAATATTTTATGTATCATAACCACAATTTAGCTAGTGATGTATTTTATATGTCAGATTTAATGTACCGGTAGTTGAAAGTGAAAAGTCATGCTGGTTAATGAATTTTTCAGAACTCATTATCCTTTTCAATGTACATGAATGTGGATAAGCACAGAAATGCTAAAATTTATTTGTACAACACATTGTTTAAAAAAAAAAGAGTAAATAATACATGTAATTCAAACAAAAATATATAAAACCGGAGAGAAAAGTGACATTCCTTTCATAAAGATTTTTTTAGTCTTAATTTTTATCAAAACTTGATATCAGGGTGGATTTTCTTATTAATTATATATGTTTAATATTCTGATTCTTTCTAATTGTTACATTTTATTTTTGTTCATTTCATTTCATTTATTCAACCAGTATAAAAACAGTATAAAAACAATTTACAATGAAAATACAATATACAATATACAATATAATGGTTAGGACCCCTAAGAAGAAGAAATCTGCATGTAGTCGGGGCCCTGCAAACAAACAATAACAAAATAATACACATAAATTAACAATAACAAGTAAAAGACTTGAATAATACAAGTACGCGCCCGTACATCAACACCCACACACATCCATAAAGAAGGTTACAGAGAAAGAGTAGAAAGGAGCGAAACATAGGACAGAAAGATATAAAAGTAGAAAGAAGATGGGAAAGAGAAGTACTTACTCAACCATGGATTGAAAAGTACTTTTTTATACATTGATTTAAATCTGGTAATTGTAGAACTGGATCTTAGGTCATGATTCAAGGAATTCCATTTCCATTTTCCATTTATTATCTAGTTTACTTTATTTATGTATTGGTTTTCACCTTAAATGTGTAGGAAAGGCTGTGCATCTAAGTATTAATATGTTTCATCTGAAAATCTTTCCAATTCCCACTTTAATTTGATGTCATTAATGTTCATTACAGGTCCAGAAAAGAATGTGAAGGAGGGTACCAAACATCAGATTCTTGTCTTGGGCGACGGAATATCAGTTGAAGCAAGCAACAAGGTATGTTGAATAAAGTTTTGTTTATTTTTTGAACTTTTTAATCTTTTTCTTTCTTGTTTACTCTTTTATTTATTTGTTTTTTATATATTTTATTGGTCTGTGTTCCTTTTTTTTTTTTCCCATTTTTTTTTCTTCTTTTTTTGAGAATCATAGACCGATTGCATCAATGATGTCATCTACAAAGGGCCGAATAATAAGAATAATAATGGTGGCTTCTTATAAAGCGCAATATTAGGCCCCCTAAAATAATGTTGTATTGCCCTTTCCGACCGACCCAAATCTTGAAATTACGGATGGCTTAAAAAAAAATTATTAAAGCATTCAAAATTGAGAAGAAAAAACGTTTTAAAAAAGAAAAAGAATTCTGACCAACCGACCCATGTTTTGGCACCTAAAGGGCAATACAACATTTTTCTTTTTTTAGGTCATAGCTGGCAGCCAATTGTGTAGCGCTTTGGCATATCAGGTACCCATATACACCTGGGTGGAGAGTGGCAAAAGTGGATTAATATCTTGCCATAGGACGTCAGTGTCAGGGTGGGATTTGAACCTTGACCCTTGAATTGAGAGTCAAGTGAATGAACCACTATACCACGACACCTCCACAGGATGTGAACCCCTTGACCACTGAATTGTCATATTCCCAATAGGTTTAATACAGAAACTACACGGTTCCAGTAGGTAAAGGGTTCATTAATTTACATACTTAAAAACAAAGCTAACACCCTTCACGCTCTCAGCTCATGATCCAAGGATACGTTTTTATACACAGTTATCATTACAGAATGGGTGGTAGTGGTATTACCATCTTCCTTACTTCAAAAACTGGCTGATTGTCTATGATATATGTAGTCATGCACTTACTCAGTTCCTTGACTAATTGAAAGAGTCCCTTATATATACAGGACCAAGCAATTTAACATGTTCATTGAGATACCACAGAGCCCTTACTAACAAACATAGTCAAACCTGTCTATAAAGGCCACCTGTCTATAGTGTTCACCGATATTGGATCCCTCTAGAAGGAACTTTGTGTTGAAGAACCCGTCTGTAATGGCCACCAGTCTACATTGACCACTTACTGTATTTCCCTTGGGCTTAATTTATATGGGTATTACTGTATTAGGCTCTTTGAGCACTACATGTAGGCTTGTCAATTTATATAATCAGAGTGGATAATGTATTCTTCAAGGATAAATGAAGCCACATCATGTACTAAAAAGGGAAAAAGAAGGCTTCAAAATGTTTACCATTAAATAATCATTCAGAAGTTGGATTGTGTATACTTCACAAGACTGACACCTAGCTCAATCCCTTCTTGATTTATTACTGTAATTGAGTAAATAATGACTTGTTTCCAAGATATTCACCCTTATTAAAAAAAAGTGAAGACTTATTCGGAGAACGCTTAATCCAGTGGATTTGGGAAAAGAATGAAAATCAGACTCATCTCGATCATTTAGATGAAATCAAATCGATCCAAGACCACTCTTGCCTGGGAGAGAGTTAGAAATCACCTTGGGGATTGTCGATTCAAAACATGATCACTAGACAAGAAGCCTTGCAAATCTTCTAAAGGCATCATTAAATGTACTATGTCCCTTTTGCAGCCTACCTCAAATGCTGTAGAACTTTGCATGAATTATGAATATGTCATGTATGTCCTATCTGTGAAATTTAAACGTTAGCAGTGTCCTCATATTCAAATTATGCAAGGAAACCCAGTTACTTGCTAGACTTCACTGTCAGACACTATTGAGTGACTGACTGGCTTTTTTTCTTCTTTGGTAATAACATACATGAAAAGAGTTGTAAAGGGTACATGAGCATTTGTCTATATCAATAACTCCCTTTTTGTGATGGCAAAGATTAAACTGATTGAATCTTTGCGCAGCATAAAACGTATGACCATTCGGTACAATTGTCTGAAAATCAAGACTATTACTTTTGGGCTCTATAGCCCTAAAGTCGATTTGACAACTAATAGTCGTTATTTTCCCACTTGAAGACATTTTCAAGCCCCACCTTTTTTAGGGAAGTTCTAAATTAGTATTATCTTTCAAATGCAGTTGGAATTTACCTTTTTCATTTTTTTGGCCTGCAAATGGGACATACTACCTTTAAGATAAGCTGCTATAATCCTCATAATCTCTCACATTTTATGAAAGCTATATCCATTTCATCTTGTGTCATTGATACCCTTAGCATTCCGGGAATTTGTGTTATCTTCATCTAATTGTTAGTTCTTTTCTGTATCTTGTAAATAGCCAATTTTTAGACAAAAGGTCAGTCTTGCAGGCCTTCGGAATAGTAACCCGGAGTTTTACGAGACCCACGGGCCGTGAAGCTGACAGCCCATAAGACAGACATGTCAGTCTTGTGTGCCTGATGAAAAGTAGCCCGACGTTTCACGAGACCCATCGCCTGTGAGGCTGACATCCCATAAGACAGACATGTCAGTGTTAGGGGCCTACTGAAAAGTACTGAAAAGTAAACCGACATTTCTCAAGACCCAACGGCCCGTGAGGCTGACAACCCACATGATGGACATGTCAGTCTTGTGGGCCTTCTGAAAAGTAACGCGACGTTTCGCAAGACGTACGGCCTGTGAGGCTGACATCCCATAAGACAGACATGTCAGTCTTGTGGGTCTACTGAAAAGTAACCCAACAATTCTAAAGACCTACGGCCTGTGAGGCTGACAGCCCACATGATGGACCTGTCGGTCTTGTGGGCCTACTGAAAGGTAACCTGACGTTTCACGAGGCTGACGGCAAAAGAAGACATGATATTTCAGCCTTGTGGGCCTTTTAACAACTTTCTGAAGATTCGCTATACAGCGTACATATTCAGTGTGTTATGTCAAGGCTGTTGGTCTCTTCCCCCATGAGTTTCATGAGCCAGTGGTCTCTTGGTCTGCCCTGGTCTGAATGTAACAGACCACTGAACTGACCATCTAACTTAGAAGACCGCTCAAACTTTATATCACATATCTTTCAATAGACTAGTTTAGTAACATATTCAAATTTGATGCAAACCTTTTAAACAAAGGTTGCTGTAGACTATCTGGAAGCTTGCCCAACATAGCAACAAGTTATGTATGCAGATTGGATTCCAAGTGTTGTAGTTCATTCATTATAAATAGGTTAATGGCATACCTTATCACTAGGTCCCCAGGAAAGAAATATCCATAAAGTCTTTTGAAAGAAATGTGATATGAAGTATGAGTGGTCTTCTAAGCTTGATAGTCAATTTAGTTTGACCTCCCATGGCACATGAGAGTATGGGATATTTATGAAAAAATTGTTTTTATACCGAGTTTGCTTGTGTAACTACTTGAACTGTTAGTTTAACTTAAACCAAATATGTGTGATGCATAACAAATTTAACAGTCTCCAAGTACAACCTCAGAGAGTTTTTACTATAGTAAACAGTGCAGTATACACTTTGATATATTTTAGGAAAATAAATCTATGCTCTATTTTTCTTGATTTATGAAGTTTATGGCCGAAAACAGTGCATCTAGTTTTAGATTGACAAAGGAAAAGGAACGATACTTGTCGAATAGAATTACTATTGGGACACCAAAATTTTAATCTTGTAAATTTGTAGAAGTGGCTACTAATATTTTCATAGACAGAAAAAACAGATTCTGTTTAAACGGTTGTCCACAATTTTTTTTGTTCTCTTTTTTTGTGGGGGGGGGCCAAGGAAATGTTTCACTCTGCTTTTTAGGGAATTTTGATGCTCGTCGTACCTTTCAAATATTTGCATTCTGTATCATCCTTCGCATAAAATTTTAAATGAGGGCACCTAATTGATATAGCCTTTGAAACATGGGAGGTAATCTATTTAAAGCTGGATTTCTTTTTTACACCCCCTCTCCCCATCTTCCAATCATTTTCTCCTTTTTTTTCAAATCTTTTCACCTTGTGTTGTCAAGCATCCTTTGGTCTGAAATCGCTTTTAGCCTTGGTCCCTCGATAAAAGCACATTTCAGAGAAATATACATGTAATTGAAGGAACACCATCTTTTCAAAGAGTGCTTTCCATGATTTTAAAAATCCCCCCCCCCCCTTGTCGTTATTATGAGATCAGGCGCGGATCTACGGGGGGGGGGGTTTAGGGGGTTTAAACCCCCCCCCCCCCCTTGGGCGGCCCAACAAAAAAAAACAAAAAAAAAAAAAAAAAAGAAAGAAAAAAAGAAAGAAAAAAGAACGCACGCTGGAGAGAAACCCTTTCAAGTGCAAATATTGTGAGAAGATATTCAACTCATCTGGTAACTTAACCAAACACATGATAACTCTGGATATAACTGTGTATTTACTGTTACTTGATTTAAAAAGACGTTATCATGCACTGCTTTTTATGGTCTCCATTGTGTTAATAGATGCCAGGAAAACATCACTTACGGAGTTCAAATAAACACCCAAAAAAAAATCGGTTCGCCGCTTCGCGGCTCGTGGACGATGCTCCGCATCGTCATTATTTTGGTCAAACCCCCCCCCTTAGCAAAAAGCTAGATCCGCCCCTGGAGATGCGTGCAGAGCCATTAATTTGTGGTTTATGAAGGTCAGATTTAATAAAGCAACGATATCTGAGAAAGATAAAATGAGAGACATAACATGATCGTAAATCATCAACCGTTTCAGAAAGATTGGATTCGTAGGGACTATTCGGTACTCATAATTAGCAAAGATGACAGCTGTGTAATGATAACCTTTAAAGCTTGTTTGTGACAGGATAATATAAAGCATCATTATTGTAATTTGTAAATATTTAAAAGATGCCCTTCCCTTTGTCCTGTTTCTTTAGGAAGTAGATACAATGTAGTGTGCCCCTTTCAAAACAAAAAGGTTGCCATCAAGCTTCCAACTATTTCCTTATTACTGGTAGTGGTACTAGAAATCCCACGCACCATACATTGGCAAGAATATGGACAGCACTGTTTGTATACCATATTTTTATTCTTCACAAGGTATTTCTGACCCTATACATCG